ATTTGGAGGATGGCGCCAGACACAGGACAGATAACCAGATTTGTTTGGGACTTTGTGGGTGTGTTGCTCCCTGCCCACAAATCTATCTGAGCCTGGCGCCTTAGAAACAAACAGAATCCGTCTCCAGGGCACAGACCCAGCTTGGTTTTGATGTCAGGGCTTGCAAAAGAACATAAGAAGAGACAGATGGATCAGGCCAATGGCCCATCTAGTCCAGCACAGCCACTTCCGCCCTTCCGAGGAGGTGGGGTTGCAGGCTTCACAGCCCCACCACACGCGCGGTGGGTGGAGGCCAGGCCCCACGCGATTAGGGGGAATCCCGGCTGCGTCACCCCCTGGTCGGCCAGTCGGCTGGCTCAGGGGGCGTGGCCTGCCCTATAAAGGCAGGAAGCGGCCGGGGATCTCCCTCTTTGCCGCTCATCCGCTGTTCAGGTTTTCCCACCCTCCCGCCCTATAAGGTTTTGTTCTTTGACCTTTGCTATGGATCTTGGTTGGTTGGTCGCCGTTGAGGGGCCTGGTAGGAATTTTTCCACTTGGCAAATTGGCACCAGGCACTCAGTTTTCACCTTTGTTGTTGTTGTTTAGTCATGTCCGACTCTTCGTGACCCCCTGGACCAGAGCACGCCAAGCACTCCTGTCTTCCACTGCTCCCGCAGTTTGGTCAAACTCCTGCTGGTAGCTTCAAGAACACTATCCAACCATTTCATCCTCTGTCGTCCCCTTCTCCTTGTGCCCTCCATCCTTCCCAACATCAGGGTCTTTTCCAGGGAGTCTTCTCTTCTCATGAGGTGGCCAAAGTCTTGGAGCCTCAGCTTCAGGATCTGTCCTTCCCGTGAGCACTCAGGGCTGATTTCCTTCGGAATGGAGAGGTTGGATCTTCTTGCAGTCCATGGGACTCTCAAGAGTCTCCTCCAGCATGGTTTTCGCCTACCTCGTAGCAAATCGTCACAACTTTCTGGGTATTGGCGGTTGGGCATTGGTATAGTTCTGTAGATGGAAGAGGGGAGGAAGCGCCATCACCTGCCCCCCATATTGAAGGGTAGTCCGATAAAGGATTCCAGGGGGCATGGCCCTGTCTGAAGCCTGGGGAGGTGAGGACCCAAGGCACGCCCCCTAACGGTGACCCCTGGGGTCCTAGTGCATCAGCAGGACTCCCCCTACTGGTGGTTAACCCTTCCCAGACTTCAAGCGGACGGGCTGAAGTTGGTTAGGATCAATGCCTAAGCCAATACCGCTCATCACCTGTAACCAATAAATTTGTGGCCTTTTTAGCCCATTAACCTTAATAATTGTGTCATGCGTCTTTATTTCCACTGGGGGGTGGGGTGGGGGTGGGAATATCGCCACACAACCTGCTCTCACCAGAGGCGTGTCGGACACGAGTGCAACAGCGCTCTCCCCTCCTGCAATACCCAGCACAGAACTGGAAGGGACCACGAGGGTCATCTAGTCCAGCCCCCTGTAATGCAGGAATCCTTTTGCCCAACGTGGGACTTGAACCCACAACCATGAGATTAAGAGTCTCGTGCTCTATGGACTGAGCTATGTCGCTGGTCTGGGCTGCATCAATAGGAGTATAGCATCTAGATCAAGGGAAGTAATAGTGCCACTGTATTCTGCTCTGGTCAGACCTCACCTGGAGTACTGTGTCCAGTTCTGGGCACCACAGTTCAAGAAGGACACTGACAAACTGGAACGTGTCCAGAGGAGGGCAACCAAATTGGTCAAAGGCCTGGAAACGATGCCTTATGAGGAACGGCTAAGGGAGCTGGGCATGTTTAGCCTGGAGAAGAGGAGGTTAAGGGGTGATATGATAGCCATGTTCAAATCTATAAAAGGATGTCATATAGAGGAGGGAGAAAGGTTGTTTTCTGCTGCTCCAGAGAAGCGGACACGGAGCAATGGATCCAAACTACAAGAAAGAAGATTCCACCTAAACATTAGGAAGAACTTCCTGACAGTAAGAGCTGTTTGACAGTGGAATTTGCTGCCAAGGAGTGTGGTGGAGTCTCCTTCTTTGGAGGTCTTTAAGCAGAGGCTTGACAACCATATGTCAGGAGTGCTCTGATGGTGTTTCCTGCTTGGCAGGGGGTTGGACTCGATGGCCCTTGTGGTCTAGTCCAACTCTATGATTCTATGGTCGGGGGCGGGGGGCAGTCCTAAAGGCATGGAAACCAGAGCAAGTTACACCTTTAAGCCGATCCATGCACCCGATCCAAACTCAAGAGCATGGCTGCACAAACCTTGAAAACTTAAACCACCCTTTTTGCTTTCTTAACTCGCGTCAGGTTAAGAAGCCTCGTGACTGACCTAAACAGGCTCAGGATTTGCAACCTCCCAAACATCTAATATACATCAAATCTGAAACAGAGATGGAGGCATCAGAAATAGAAACATGAGAGGCGCAATTCATGCTGCAAAGACCTCCTTAACCCTTTTAACCCGGCGCCTGGAATGTAGCAGGGCCAGTGCCTGGCTGCAGAGTTCCATAGCGTCGAGCCCACAACACTGAATGTACAAAAACAAACAAACCTGGGTGCGAAGGGATTCTTAGTAATGATTTAGCAACTGTGCCTAGTTAGACGCAGAGTCGACCCAGAAAAGGGAGGAGTATTGCTGCCACCTAGAGGCACAGCTAGAAATGACAATAAAAGTAATAATAATAATAATAATAATAATAATAATAATAATAATAATAATAATAATATCTTTATTGTCATTACCCCCTCTTGGGTACAACGAAATTACTTGACTGCTCCATAAAAACACTAATTAAAACAATACAGTATAATACAGCAAGGAAGATTAGATGACTTTCAAAGTCCAGGCTTCCCATTCAGGGCCGAGATCGCTCTGGAGAAGAAGCTGTTCTTAAGACGGCTCGTTCTTGTCTTCATCGTCCTGTATCTCCGTCCCGACGGCAGGAGCTCAAAGAGACAGTGACCAGGATGCGATGGATCTTTTACTATGTCCAGTGCCTTCCTATGGCACCTTGTGGCATAAATCTGCTCTAAGGTGGAGAGTGGGCAGCCAACAATGCTCTCTGCTGCCTTAACAACTCTGCACAACCTCATCCTGTCCTGGGTAGTACAGCTTCCGTACCACACACATAAGCCATAAGTGAGCACGCTCTCAATGGCACAGTGATAGAAGGCAAGCAGCAGTTTCTGCGGAAGATGGTTTTTCCTTAGAATTCTCAAAAAGTACAGTCTCTGCTGCGCCTTCTTCACAAGCCCCCTTGTGTTGACACTCCAGGACAGATCCTCTTGTAATTCAGTGCCCAAAAATCTGAACGTTGTTACCCTCTCCACACAGACCCCATCAAGCAAAAGTGGCTGGACATTGCTCTTCTGTCTCCTGAAGTCCACCACAAGCTCCTTTGTCTTCCTTGTATTTATGAGCAAGTTGTTAGCTCTGCACCACTCTGTCAGCCGCTCCACCTCATCTCTATAATCCGTTTCACCCTCCCTTTCAGTGCTCTGGGAAGAAGGCCAGGTAAGTCTTACCTGTAAGCACAGGAAAATGACTTGCTCCCCTGGCCTGATGGTGCCCTCGGCTCCTGTTTCATCTACCTGGAGCTGCAAACAGGTTTGAGGTTGTTCGCTGTGCAGGGGAAGCCATACAGAGTCAGACCAGAAGCGAAGTTACAGGGAAGCTGGCAGAGGGCCTTCTCAGTGGTGACGCCCACCCTGTGGAACGCCCTTGCATCAGATGTCAAGGAAATAAGCAACTAACTGACTTTTAGAAGACATCTGAAGGCAGCCCTGTATCGGGAAGTTTTCAATGCTTGATGCTTTATTGTGTTTTTAATATTTTGTTGGGAGCCACCCAGAGGGGGGCGGGGAGAATTCATGGCAACTTTATAAACGCTTTTATCCAGTTTTCGCTTCAGAAAACTAGGTTCATTGGAATGAAAAGGAGAAGATCAGTCTTTAACATCAGCAGTAACATCTAGACCATGGGAGCGTTTCAGCCCTGTTCGAGTTTGTTTAAAATCTAAAACAGCTTATTTTGTATTCCTTTCTTTGAATTTGTGCCATTTAGGTTTTTTAAACCTTTTTGTAAAGGCCACACTAGAATTTTCACAGCTGAGTCCTCAACTCTTCATTACTGTGCTTTGCTTTCTTTAAGTTGGGCTTTGTCTAAAACTTGCCATTGAGGTTTTCAAACCCTTTTTTTTGTAAATTCCGTATTAGAAACTGTACCTTTGAGTCCTCAGTCCTTTATTACTGCGCTTTGCTTCACCTCGGTCAAGCCAGGATTATAATACTTCAGAATTTTTGGGAGTTCTACCCCCCCCCTTTTTTTTGAATTTTGGTCATTTAAGGTTCATGATTTTTCTATTTCCTTCTGAAGAAACTGAATAGTTCGGTGAAACGAGGTTTGTAGCCGGCATTCCATTAAGGCTTTATTCAATTTTAGGTTTTTCAAATTTTTTCCTTAAACTTTCTGATTTATTTCCATAAGATAATATTTCTAGTCGATTACTTCTCATTTCAGGGATTTTCACGGTATTTCATTTGTTTTGTGCAATTTCTCGGTTCCGTGACTGTCTTTTTTCTACTGGTCTCTGTTAAGTCGTGGGTGAACATATCAGACGACACAGCGATTCTTCAAACATCTCTTGTTTATTCACAGGCCAGAACAGAACTGAACTGAAGGCTTCAGCCAGCCTGCTTATATAGAGCTCCACTACAATGCTACAGTAGCAACTTTCTGTAACTAGCCAATCACTGAACGTCACTTTCAATCCCCTATTTGCATATGTGGACCTGAGTGAAAACTATCTACAGTATCCCTCTGGTGGCCCAGGGTGAGAACTTCAGTACATAACGCCCTCCTGCAAGGGCTCATCTTAGCTGCACCCGCAACCCCAACCTGAACGAACAAGAAATGAACTCGCACGCAGGATGGCGACTTTACAAATGCTTTTATCCAGTTTTCGCTTCACAAAACTAGGTTCACTGGAAAGAAAAGGAGAAGCCTGTGAGACCCCCCCTTCAGATATCGGACACGGAGAGGAGGGTGGCCGTGGGAGAGGAAGCAGGTCTCCGGCTCCCGTGGATCTGGCATTTCCAGTGCAGGTCCTGATCCGGATCCAGAAGCTCCACAGAATCCAGCATGTCGGGAACTGGCAGGAAAAGAAAATAACAGATGGTATTTAACTCTGAGTAGACTTGCTAAGATTTATAAGTCCCAATCAGAGAAGTGATGGAGATGCAAAGAGGTGGAAGGAACCTTCTTTCATATGTGGTGGACTTGTAAAAGGGTAAAAAGAGTACTGGGAAATGATCCATAATGAATTGAAAAAAATGATTAAAAGTACCGGTACTTTCCACAAAAAACCAGAGTCCTTTCTGTTGGGGATAATTCAGACTGAAATTCCCAGCTGTCAAAAAAGATTATTTATAAGAGTACATCCATTTGTAAAAAAAGGAATATACAACGGGATAGACAGGAAGTCCAAAGTGTTGGTGCATATATAATTTTGGAATAGTTATTTGTCCTTGTTTTTTTTCTGGGTGAGGATGAAGCGGTCCCAGGTTTCCCTTCACACAGTTGTGAATACCTTGGAATATAAATGCTGCCAGAAACAGCTGTGGCAGACATCTGCTGAGGGAATGCAGGGAGAGATTTATCCAAGACTCACCTATAAAAGTGGTCACATGACGCAGCGCCCATCTAAGGTAAGCACACATTGACGCCTTACCTGTTCAGCATCCACCCACCCCAGCAGCCTTCTCTGCCCCTCAGTGGACCACTGCAGAGGCTGGCTGGGATTTGTCAGCCGCAGCAGGAGATCTACTCACTTGGGATCTCCACCATCCTCTCTTGGCTGTTCATTTGCCAGTTGGATTTCTTCTTGCCAACCTGGAAGGAGGCAGTGGGGAAAAGACAGTCACGGAACCAAGAAATTAAAGGTAAAGGTAAAGGGACCTCTGACCATTAGTTCCAGTCGTGGCCGACTCTGGGGTTGTGGCGCTCATCTCGCTTTACTGGCCGAGGGAGCCGGCGTACAGCTTCCGGGTCATGTGGCCAGCATGACTAAGCCGCTTCTGGCGAACCAGAGCAGCGCATGGAAACGCCGTTTACCCTCCCACCGGAGTGGTACCTATTTATCTACTTGCACTTTGACGTGCTTTCAAACTGCTAGGTTGGCAGGAACAGGGACTGAGCAACGGGAGCTCACCCCATCGCAGGGATTCGAACCGCCGACCTTCTGATCGGCCAGTCCTAGGCTATGTGGTTTAACCCACAGCGCCACTCATGTCCCTTACCAAAAATTACACAAAAACAAATGAAATGCAGTGAAAATCCCTGAAACAAGTAATCGGATATAGAGTTAAACTAAATAACAAAGATCCAAAAATCAAAAAATTTAAGGGAAAAAATTAACCTAGAATTAAACAGACTTAACGAGATGCCGGCTACAAAACTCGTTTCACCTCAGAAGGAAATAAAGAAATTATAAACCTTCAATGATTTTAAACAAACTCAAGAGCAGGACTGAACCGCTTCCCTGAGTTTACAAAAAAGGTATGAAAACCTCAAGGACAAGTTTTAGACATAGCCCTATTTAAGAGAGCCAAGCAGTAGTAAAAAAGCAGAGACATCACCTTGCCAACAAAGGTCCATACAGTTAAAGCTATGGTTTTCCCAGTAGTGATGTATGGAAGTGAGAGCTGGACCATAAAGAAGGCTGATTCGCCGAAGAATTGATGCTTTTGAATTATGGTGCTGGAGGAGACTCTTGAGAGTCCCATGGACTGCAAGAAGATCAAACCTCTCCATTCGGAAGGAAATCAGCCCTGAGTGCTCACTGGAAGGACAGATCCTGAAGCTGAGGCTCCAATACTTTGGCCACCTCATGAGAAGAGAAGACTCCCTGGAGAAGACCTTGATGTTGGGAAAGATGGAGGACACAAGGAGAAGGGGACGACAGAGGATGAGATGGTGGACAGTGTTCTCGAAGCTACCAGCATGAGTTTGACCAAACTGCGGGAGGCAGTGGAAGACAGGAGTGCCTGGCGTGCTCTGGTCCAGGGGGGTCACGAAGAGGCAGACACGACTAAACAACTCAACAACAACAACAAGTGGCTGTGCCTGTCCTTCACACTTTCCTCCGCACTTGGCATAGGTTTTATGCAGCGCAGTGAAGGTGCCCCGATCCTCTCGCCACTTAACGGTCATTTTCTAAGCCTTTCCCCTGAAACCAGAGCACAAGGCGTGGAGTGCCTGGCGTGCTGTGGTCCAGGGGGTCACGAAGAGGCAGACACGACTAAACAACAAAGCAGTAGTAATAAGAAATTGAGGACTTGGCTGTAAAAACTCTAGTATTGCGTTTACAAAATGGTTTAACAAAAAAACTTACAAAGGAATACGAGATAACAAACTCAACAAACTCAAAAACAGGGCTGAAATGCTCCTGACTGCTGATGTTAAAGACTGATGTTAAAAACCTGGAAGGAGGAGCATCGCTGAATGGGAAGGCACCGCAATGCACAGCAATCTTTGTTTTCTTCTGGGCCTCCTCAATTTGTCCCTAGCCCCAGCAAAGGGGCTGCAACCTTGCTTGCCCTGCGCTTGGGTAACAGAATCATAGAACTGCAAAGTCAGAAGTGACCCAAAGGACCGCCTAGTGTAGTCCAACCCCTGCAGTGCAGGTTTGCAGGAGCTTCTCCTCATATTGTCAAGACCTCAGGCCTCCTCCCACCCTGCCTACTGCAACCTTTCCCAAAGGCTGCGCTAGCAGAGGCTGATGGGAGAGAGATACCATTCAAAATAGCCAGAGGGTACCAGGTTGGGGTTAGGCAGGTCCACGTGCCACATTGCAACTCTCAGAGGCCATAGCCAAGGCTCCTCCAGGCAGTGTGTTCAGCATTCATTCTGATCATCCTGACCCCTGTGGCCTATGCATTAGTAAACTTGAGGCTAGGTTACTGGAATGCCTTATTTGTGAGGCTGTCCTTGGGTGTGGTTTGGAAACTCCAGCTGCCGTGTTTTGTATTATTATTATTATTATTAGTAGTAGTAGTATAAGTATACTGCTCCTCATGTGTAGATCTCAGGGCAGCAGACACATTGCGGACGACGACATCTGGCCGAAAACATTTGGCACCAGTGTTAAAACAGCTGCACTGGTTGCTCCTCTGCTATCAAGCCAGGTCCAAGGTCCTTGTATTACGGTAATTTACAAAGCCCTGAACAACTTAGGAGCAGGGCACCCCAAGGGATCACCTGAACCTTCTACCCTGGCTCCATCACCTAAGGAAAATTAACAACAACCATCTTAAACTTTCCAAAATAACAACAGACTAAAAACAGATTAAAAGTCGCACCAGCTTCCTAAACACCTGGGTAAAGGTAAAGGGACCCCTGACCATTAGGTCCAGTCGTGACCGACTCTGGGGTTGCAGCGCTTATCTCGCTTTACTGGCCGAGGGAGCCGGCGTACAGCTTCCGGATCATGTGGCCAGCATGACTAAGCCGCTTCTGGTGAACCAGAGCAGCGCACGGAAACGCCGTTTTCCATCCCACCATGTTGTTGTTGGTTCTTTTTGTTGTTGTTTAGTCGTGTCCGGCTCTTCGTGACCCCCTGGACCAGAGCACGCCAGGCACTCCTGTCTTCCACTGCCTCCCGCAGTTTGGTCAAACTCATGCTGGTAGCTTTGAGAACACTGTCCCACCATCTCGTTCTCTGTCGTCCCCTTCTCCTTGTGCCCTCCATCTTTCCCAACATCAGGGTCTTTTCCAGGGAGTCTTCTCTTCTCATGAGGTGGCCAAAGTCTTGGAGCCTCAGCTTCAGGATCTGTCCTTCCAGTGAGCACTCAGGGCTGATTTCCTTCAGAAAGAAGAGGTTTGGTCTTCTTGCAGTCCATGGGACTCTCAAGAGTCTCCTCCAGCACCAGAATTCAAAAGCATCCATTCTTCGGGAATCAGCCTTCTTTATGGTCCAGCTCTCACTTCCATACATCACTACTGGGAAAACCATAGCTTTAACTATACAGACCTTTGTTGGCAAGGTGATGTCTCTGCTTTTTAAGATGCTGCCTAGGTTTGTCATTGCCCATCCCGCCGAAGCGGTACCTATTTATCTACTTGCACTTTGACGTGCTTTTGAACTGCTAGGTTGGCAGGAGCAGGGCCGAGCAACAGGGGCTCACCCTGTTGCGGGGATTCGAACCAGCTTGTCTAAACAAGAATGTTTTTAGCAGGCACCAAAAAGAGCCCAGCGAAGGCACCTGCCTGATATCAATAGGCAGGGAGTTCCAAAGGCTAGGCACTGCCACACTACAAGTTTGAGTTTTTCGGATGTGAAACAGGTGCTGGGTGGCACCTGAAAGTCCCACTGAAATATATGGGGCAAGGCGATCTCTTAGGTGAACTGGTCCCGAGTTGTTAAGGGCACCTTGAACCTGGGAATCAAAGGGCATGCAATGGGTACCTATTCCACATCAAACTGAGGTGCGGACGGGCCCATGTGCCAGGCAAACGGCAATCCCACAGGCATATCTTTCCACCCCCTGCTCACCTGCTTCTCTGCCTTTTCCGCCGACGCTCCTCCCAGCCTGGGACCCTCTCGGTGCAGAAAGCTCCCCATGGCGGACAGGAAGTGGCGCCAAGCCTTGAGCACCTTCTGCTGGCGGGACAGGTCTTGGGAGCAGCTGTGAGGGCAGGAGCCGGGGATGGCCGAACCCATGCTGGAGACCCAGGGGACGTGGCAGAGCTCAGCGGCCTCGGCGGCCCCCAGGGCCATCGCTCCAGAGGACCTCACTCTGTACCTGCAAGAAGAGCATGGAAAGGAGGGAGGTGCAAATGAAACTGGGGTGGGTGTGTCATTGTGGTGGGAGGGACTATTTTCTGACTTAAGAGCTCCTCCAGGCAACTGGCTAATTGAGCATCCTCCCTATTTGCTTGCGCAAAGCTTGTGTGAAGGTGGTTAGATTGCACCCGGTATTTACTGAGCGCTTCTTCTGAAATTCAGCTTCTGCAGAGTGCGCCACACAGGCGCCGCCTCCTCCATGCCTGCCTGTTATGTACTGAAGTTCTCACCCTGGGCCAGCAGGGGGATACTGTAGATAGTTATGCAAATGAAGGATCGAAAGTGACGTTCAGTGATTGGCTAGTTACAGAAAGTTGCTACTGTAGCGTTGTAGTGGAGCTCTATATAAGCAGGCTGACTGAACCCTTCAGTTCAGTTCTGTCCTGGCCTGTGAATAAAAAAGAGCTGTTTGAAGAATCGCTGTGTCGTCTGATATGTTCACCCACAACTTAACACTGCCCACTCCTCGTGAGCGTATAGAGGGGAGGTCCAAAAATATCTACATGGTGCCTAGGGAACAACTTTCATCTTAATATCAGCAAGACAAAGGAGATGGTGTGGGACTTCCTCCCTCCCTAAAAACCAAGGGAAACGGGGGGGGGGGGCAGGAGGGAGCTTTGCACCACAGCACTGGGTATGCTTAAGATGGCCCTTGGCACCACTGTAATAAAAGCAAGCAAGGAATGTGATTCCATCATCTGCCAGCTAAAGATTTCCCCTATCTGGATGGCAGCCCCTAACCCTCCACACCCGGAGGTCACCCCCGAGGAAGGATGGCGAAGCCCTGAGCCCCGAGTCACGCACTTGTTTCTGTGCCTTTTGCACCACCCTGAGTCCTGCCAGTTCAAGGCCAAAGGTTGCTTGAAGGACAGAGCCTGTGGAGAGAGATGTGGGAGGTCAGAGATGGAAAGGGAAGCAGCAGCAACAGGCAGCCTCTGCTGGGCTCGGGGTCAAGGGCTCGGGGAGCTCTCCAAGGTTGGGGGGGACCCTGCCTTGGCTGCATGCGATGGTGAACAGCGGCACACACAGCTCTGGCCACCATCCTTTGGTGCTCTGCATCCCCAGGAACTCAGACCAGGCGGCTCCACTCACAAGGAGCAGTTTCTCTCCTCCCGCCTCCGCCATGTTTGCCCCTGCATCTGCACGCAGTACCTGGAATTTGCAGCTGTGATGAGCAGCTAAGATGTAGCGGATCTGGGTGCAAACCAGGAGGAGCAGAGGCACCAGGTAGAATGCGGCTGGGATGGTCACCAGCACTCTGGAAGCACTGGAGTCAAGGAAGACAGACAGACAGATACTACTACTACTACTACTGCTAATAATAATAATAATGATTTATTTGTACCCCGCCCATCTGGCTGGGTTTCCCCAGCCACTCTGGGCGGCTTCCAACAAAGATTAAAAATACATTAAAATACCACACATTAAAAGCTTCCCTAAACCTTCAGATGTTTTCTAAAAGTCTGGTAGTTGTTTTTCTCTTTGACTTCTGGTGGGAGGGCATTCGACAGGGCGGGCGCCACCACCGAGAAGGCCCTCTGCCTGGTTCCCTGTAGCTTTGCTTCTCGTAGTGAGGGAACCGCCAGAAGGCCCTCGGAGCTGGACCTCAGTGTCCGGCAGAACGATGCGGGTGGACTGACGATGGGGGTGGTCTACTGGACTGAGGCCGTTTAGGGCTTTCAAGGACAGAAGGGAGAAACGTGCTAAGAGGAAGGCACACTTGGCAAATCCACACCGTGATCAACTCCCGCCCGGAAACCAATGTTCCCACTGTGGAAGGACGCGTGGATCCAGAATTGGCCTCCTCAGTCACTTACGGACTCATTGTTTAAACCGTGTTTATGGAAGACAATCTTACTCGGCTATGAGTGATCGCCAAAGAAGAAAGAAAGAAGAAGCAGAGAATTGTAGTTCTGGGAGGGGAATCTGGGTCTCCTAACAGTTCTCAGCACCCTTAGCAAACTACAGCTCCCAGGATTCTTTGAATCCCAGCGCTACAGGAGAGGGAGGGGAACTTCTCTCTGAAGGATACGTGCAGATCTTTTCCACGCTGAAAACCTGCTGGGAGTTGAATGCCAGGTAGACCAGGCAGGAAGCCAGCACCGCCAGGTCGTAGCCGCTCAGGAAGGCCACAAAGAAGATGAAGAAGCGAAGGTTGTGGTAGCCAATGCAGTTGTTGACCCACATGCAGTGGTGGTCGAATTCCTGCAGGTGATATACAGTATAATGAATTGAAGAAAATGTTGAAAATAACTTTTGTAAAAAAACCCAGAAGCCTTTTTATTAGGTATTTTAAGCCAAGATATACCGAAAGAAAAGAGGACTGTTGAGTTGTGGGTGAACATATCAGACGAAACAGCGAGTCTTCAAACAGCTCTTGTTTATTCACAGGCCAGAACAGAACTGAACTGAAGAGCTCAGTCAGCCTGCTTATATAGAGCTCCAGAACAACGTAACTGTAGCAACTTTCTAAAACTATCCAATCACTGAACGTCACTTTCGATCCCTTATTTGCATATGTGGACCTGAGTGAAAACTATCTACGGTATCCCCCTGCTGGCCCAGGGTGAGAACTTCAGTACATAACAAGGACTATATTCCTGTATGCCACTACAGCAGCGAGAATGTTGATTGCACAAAATTGGAAGACTGGAGAAATACCAACTAAAGAACAACAGCAAGAGAAGTTGATGAACTATGCAGAACAGGCAAAAATGACAGATTAAGAGAAAAAGACAACAGAGACTTTGAAAAAGAATGGGAACCATTCATATTAAACTTGCAGAAACAAAGAAAGTTTATAGACTTGATGGTAGGATTTAAATGAACATCCACATTATTAGTATTAGAAAATGTGTAGATAGAGAAATAATATGATGTATTCACTGTTATTTTTATGTTTTTAGGTTTGATGTTATTGTATAAATATATTATTAGTATTTTTTTTCCTTTTAGGAGGCAGCAAAATGGGTGAAAGGAGAAACAAACCGGAAGCGGAAGTTGGGGGAAGCCCAGGAGGAAAGGGAGGAAGGAATGCATAGAAAATGTTATGAATATGAGATGTGTGTAATGAATGAAAAAGAAAAATGAAGAAAATAAAATAATTCCTGCAGGTGGGGCCGGAGAGTTAGGACGCAGCGCTTCGGGGAACACCCCAGGGCCCTGACCTTTGAACTTCCAAGGAGCCTTCTGTCAGCCGCATTTTGCACCCCAGGTGCAAAACACTTTCCCTGTATGCATTTTTCACTAACATACATATTTTCGCAAGTAATATCCCCCAATATATTGCCTTTTTGCATATACCTTGCAGCAGTATATGCATTGTTGCACACAGAGCTTGACCGGAGAACTGCGCTGCAAAATTCTGAGACATGCCAAATTTTGAATCGTGGCTGCATTTCAGTTTGCACCGTGCTCCAGAAAGTGCAAACTAGGTAACAGGTTTTACTTTAAATGCGAACCAAGTCGAGCTCCTCCTCCTCTGCCCCTAGGGGTCGCTGTCGTTCTTTACCTCCACACAGGTGTTGCACCAGGAGCAGTGGAAGGTGTGCTGCAGGCAGTAGAGCTGGCACTTGTTGCACCAGTGCTGGTTGAGGTCTTTCATGGTGAAGGCCTGGTTCACCAGTTCTTCTTCAATGCCTAGCCGTGGAAGGAAGCAGAGAAGGGAGAAGGCGGCTTCAGGGTCAGGCCATGTGCACACCACACATTTAAAGACTACTCTGTTCCGAACTTTAAAATGGAAAGCGTAATGCTGGTGGTCAACAAAAGAGGTTTAAGGACTGTCTTAAGGCAAATTTTTAAAAATGTAGAATAAACACTGACAACTGGGAAACACTGGCCTGCGAGCGCTTCAGTTGGAGAACAGCCTTGACCAAAGGTGTCGTGGGCTTTGAAGACACTCGAACTCAGGACGCAAGGGAGAAACGTGCTAAGAGGAAGACACGCTTGGCAAACCCTCACTAGGATCAACTCCCACCCGGGAACCAATGTCCTCACTGTGGAAGGACGTGTGGATCCAGAATTGGCCTCCACAGTCATTTACAGACTCATTGTTAAAACCGTGTTTATGAAAGACAATCTTACTCGGCTATGAGGGATCGCCAAAGAAGATTCGCTCCCCCATTTTCCTAACGGAGCTACAGTGGTACCTTGGTTCTCACACGCCTTGGTACTCAAACAAATTGGAACCCAAACACTGCAAACCCGGAAGTAAGTGTACCGGTTTGCAAACTTTTTTCAGAAGTCGAACGTGTGCCGATTTGAGTGTTACACTTCCGTTTTTAGTGTTACGCTGAGGTCTGTCAGTTTTTGCTATTTATTTTGCATTTTTGTTTTTGTGGCTCTTTTTGTTTTGTTTTTGTGACTGTGTGGAACCCAGTTCAGTTACTGATTGATTGATTGTGTGACTGCAGTACATTGTTTGTTGCTTTCATTTTATGGATCAATGGTCTCGTTAGATAGTAAAATTCATGTTATATCACTGTTTTAGGGGTTGTTTTTAAAAGTCTGGAACAGATTAATCCATTTTGCATTACTTTCTATGGGAAAGCGCACCTTGGTTTTGGAACGCTTTGGTTTTGGAACGGACTCCCGGAACAGATTAAGTTTGAGAACCAAGGTACCGATGTATAATTCTCCGATTCACTTGACAATCTTTGATCCAAAGTCCTCCATTTTTAGAAACAGTGTTACAAAGGTTGGGTGCCACCCTCACTCTCTGCTAGATTCCAAGGGATTCTAGGGCACTCATGCCAGGTCTGTGTTCCTTTGGAGGGTTGAGGCACAGCGGAGACTGTCATAGCCTTGAGAAATATGGTTTATTCACCTGTTTGCACCTTCCGTCTGCATGGAGAGAGTCCAGATCTTACAGCTTGGTCGTAGGGTGGCAGGGTGGAAAGGCAGCCCCTGCACACTTACCTTTGTGGAGGATTCCAGTGTCTGTGAAACTGGTGAGGAGAAAGTAGATAATGGTTGGGATGAAGAGGAGGCCGGAGATGGTGGGGAAGGCCCAGGACACATGGAGGGCCAGCCAGCTGCACCTGTGGGAGGAAGCAGGTGGAGGTTGGAGCAAGACCTTGGCTTCGGCCCACGGAAGAAGCTAACCTTGGAAGGAAAAGCTCCTGTGCCCACCACAGTTTAAGAATCAAAGAATGGGAAGGGACCCTTCGGCTCATCTCCTCCAACTTCCTGGAATGCAGGAATCTCAGCTCAAGCATCCATGACAGACGGCCATCCAACCTCTGCTTAGAAACCTCCAAGGAAGGAGAGTCCACCACTGTCCGAGGGAGACCGTTCCACTGTCAAACAGCTCTCACTGTCCGAACGTTCCTCCTGATGTTAAGTCAGAATCTCCTTTCTCGTAACTTGAAACCGTTGGTTCAGGTCCTACCCTCCAGAGCAGGAGAAAGGAAACTGGTTCCATCTTCCATGTGACAGCCTTTTAGATATTGACAAGCTGGAATGCATGCAGAGGAGGACAACCAAGATGACCAAGTGTTTGGAAGCCAAACCTTATGAGGAACGGTTGAGGGAGTTTGGCATGTTTAGCCTGGAGGAGACTGAGAGATGATAGGATAGGTAAAGGTAAAGGGACCCCTGACCATTAGGTCCAGTTGTGACCGACTCTGGAGTTGCGGCGCTCATCTCGCTTTACTGGCCAAGGGAGCCGGCGTACAGCTTCCGGGTCATGTGGCCAGCATGACTGAACCGCTTCTGGTAAACCAGAGCAGCGCATGGAAACGCCGTTTACCTTCCCACCGGAGTGGTACCTATTTACTTGCACTTTGACGTGCTTTTGAACTGCTAGGTTGGCAGGATCAGGGACCGAGCAACGGGAGCTCACCGTTTGGGGATTCGAACCACCGACCTTCTGATCGGCAAGTCCTAGGCTCTGTGGTTTAACCCACAGCGCCACCCGCGCCCCTATGAGATGATAGGATAGCCATCTTCAAATATCTAAAGCAGGGGTCAGCAAACTAAGTAAACTCAGGCCCGAGTAAACTCAGGCCCAATTTCCTTCAGGATCCGGCCTGCGGACTGTCCGTGGATTGGCGTGGGGATTCTGTTCGTTCGGGCTGCACCATTCCCCCCACCCAGTGCCATTCCATTCCTCCCCTCACACACACAGCGGCGGTATCTCTTCCCTTCCTCCTCCTAGCTTCTCCCTGCCCTGCCTAGAGGAGGAAGGGGGCTGGACTGAGCTGGCTGAGCACCATTTTAAACAGCTCCTCTCTGGAGCCAGCCCTTTCTCACCACTTAGCTTCCCTCCGCCTCTACTGCCCTGGTGCTCCTGTGGCCCAGAGAGTGGAGCGGACAACCTCGCTCTGCCAACCCACGAGAAGTAGCGGTGGTGGTGGCAGCCCCTGGGAAGGTAAGTACAGCGGCTGGGGGGGGGGGAGAAGGACTACTTGCCCCCCCTCACCTCTTCTTCCAGCTCCCCACCTCCGGTGCTGCTTCTCTGGCCCGCCACAAGGTCTGAGGGACAGTGGACCGGCCCATGGCTAAAAACTTTTGCCGACCCCTGATCTAAAGGGCTGCCCCATGGAAGATGGAGGAAGCTTGTATTCTGCTGCTCCAGGTATTGCGTAGCACCTCTAGGTAGACCATTTGTTGGGATCTAGTGAGACCGGCTGACCCTTTGGGTCTGATCCAGCAAGCCTCTTACCTCTGCTGCCCTACCCTAAGATGGGATTGTTCAGTTCAAAATGGCCAGCCGAGCGGAATTGCCAACTGCTGCTCCTTGACTCGGACATCCCGGATCCGCCTCCATACTTACGGGAAAGTAAAGAAGAGGCAGCTGAGACCCATCAGGGTGCTGAAGTGGAAGGAAGCAAAGATGCTGGAAGTGAGAGATTGGCATCCATCTTGGGCAAACCCCATGTCTCGAGGGGAAGAGCCAGGGAAAGCTGTTGGAGCAGTCGCTGGGCCCAAGCTGGATGGAACCCCCCTTGGTCTGTTGCCAGGGCGATGTTGTGATGCGGCAAAGGGATCGAGGACAGAAGCGGGGGTCTCCCCTGTTGTGGAACGTCGCCATGGTGGCGGAAGAAGTCCATTAGTGGGCCCACGGTGCAAAGGATGCTGGGAGCTGACACCTGCCTCTCAGGTGGCTTATGGGAGCGCTCCGTACAAGACCACCTTTATTACAAATAAAGCAGTTCCTAGAGAAGAGGGGAAAAGGGACGCGGGTGGCACTGTGGGTTAAACCACAGAGCCTAGGGCTTGCCGATCAGAAGGTCGGCGGTTCGAATCCCCGTGATGGGGTGAGCTCCCGTTGCTCGGTCCCTGCTCCTGCCAACCTAGCAGTTTGAAAGCACATCAAAGTGCAAGTAGATAAATAGGTACCGCTCCGGCGGGAAGGTAAACGGCGTCTCCGTGCGCTGCTCTGGTTCGCCAGAAGCGGCTTAGTCATGCTGGCCACATGACCCGGAAGCTGTACGCCAGCTCCCTCGGCCAGTAAAGTCAGATGAGTGCCGCAACCCCAGAGTCGTCCGCGACTGGACCTAATGGTCAGGGGTCCCTTTACCTAGAGAAGAGGGAGACAGTAAAGATTTACCGCAGTGGTTTGCAGAAGGTCATAGATCAGAGGCTGGGAAATATTGGGAGAGAAGCAGGAGGAAGAGGCTCCAGGGGAGAGACAGCTGACAGACTCTGTGTCTTTAGAAAGTATCCCATACCCCTCTTCTCCCAGAACCCAGCGGGCATGGAAAGGAGGAGAACAGAAAGCTCAGAGGCAGAAGGCACAGATCAGGCAACGTAGCGAAGATGTGTAATAGGAGAGGCGGAAGGGGTGGGGCTTTACTTGAAGCAATGCCATCACTACAAGAGAGGCACTTTTCAAAGCCTCTCTCTGTGAATATTGAATAAAAGACTTGGTAAGAACTCTCTTTGTTTATCTATTTCTTGGCCGGCCACCGTGGGAGGGACTGGATTCCCGGAAGCCTGACACATACCAGCCGTTGCTTCTCCAAAAGCATTTCCATTAGGGGTTGACTTTGGGGGTGTGCTTTGTCAGTTTGCCATCGAACCTGCCAGGCCCGCTCGGCCTCCAATGGCTAGCTCATCAACTGTGGGACTCACTTGCTCTTGTGCCCGGATCCTGCTTGCGATGGGTTCCCCATAAAGGCGGAGCCTCCAATTGCCACCAAAATGCCGGGACCTTCATGAAAGGCATCACTGCTTCTCACTTTGTCTTGCAGAGTCCCAGATTTCCAAATAGCTTTCTGCTACAAGTGACCTTGGAGTCGTTTCCTTATAGCAATCAAACAATTTCATTGCAAACCATAAAATACAATTATTGGCTCTTGAAGCAGCACACATCAATAAAAACCGGGTGGGTGAGTGGGATGGGGGCGGTTCTGCCACCAAGCTTACAAATTACTAAGACACACAAGGAGAAGGGAAAGGAAGGCAGTAGATGAGGATCAGGTCTTCGAAGCCAGAATGAGTTATGGCAATTGACAAAGGAGCTTCCATAGCTCAGTGGCAGAGTGCAATAGGAAGCCCTCAAATTCAGCACCTTGGCAATAATAATAATAATAATAATAATAATAATAATAATTTATTATTTATACCCCACCCATCTGGCTGGGTTTCCCCAGCTACTCTGGGCGGCTTCCAACACAATGTTAAAATACAGTAACAACTCAAACATTAAAAGCTTCCCTAGATGTCTTCTAAAAGTCTGGTAGTTGTTTATCTCTTTGACATCTGGTGGGAGGGCGTTCCACAGGGTGAGTGCCACCACCGAGAAGGCCCTCTGCCTGGTTCCCTGTAACTTGGCTTCTCGCAGTGAGGGAGCCGCCAGAAGGCCCTCAGCGCTGGACCTCAGTGTCCAGGTAGAATGATGGGGGTGGAGACACTCCTTCAGGCATACTGGGCTGAGGCCGTTTAGGGCTTTCAAGGTCAGCACCAGCACTTTGAATTGTGCTTGGAAACGTACTGGGAGCCAATGTAGGTCTTTCAAGACCGGTGTTATGTGGTCTCAGTGGCCGCCCCCAGTCACCAGTCTAGCTGCCACATTCTGGATTTGTTGTAGTTTCCAGGTCACCTGCAAAGGTAGCCCCACATAGAGCACATTGCAGTAGTCCAAGTGGGAGATAACCAGAGTGTGCACCACTCTTGTGAGACAGACAGCGGGCAGGGAGGGTCTCATCCTGCATACCAGATGGAGCTGGTAGACAGCTGCCCTGCACACAGATTTGACCTGCACCTCCATGGACAGCTGCAAGTCCAAAATGACTCCCAGGCTGCGCACCTGGTCCTTCAGGGGCACAGTCACCCCATTCAGGACCAGGGAGTCCTCCACACCTGCCCACCCCCTGTCCCCCCAAAACAGTACTTCTGTCTTGTCAGGATTCAACCTCAATCTGTTAGCTGCTATCCATCCTCCAACCGCCTCCAGGCACTCACACAGGACCTTCACTTCCTTCTCTGGTTCCGATTTGAAAGAGAGGTAGATGTTATTGGCTTGCTGAGCTGAGATATGGCAAGGAGAACGGAACAGAATATTTCGGCAAAGTTGAAATAAGAACATACAAAGAGCCTGCAGGATCAGGCCAATGGCCCATCCAGTCCAGCATCCTGTTCTCGCAGGGGCTGACCAGTGGGGATCCTGTGGTTTCTAGCAACAGGCATTCAGAAGCAGCGCTGCCTCTGACAGTGTAGGCACAGCGCAGCCATTCTGGCTAGTCACCATTGATAGCCCTCCCCTCCATGAATTTGGCTAATCCTCTTTTAAAGCCATCCCAGTAAACTGCCTATCCTTGCCGTGGGATCACGTTCATCCAGCGCTTTACCAACTGGACTGGCTCCCGGTGGAGTACAGGGTCAGGTTTAAGGTGCTGGTTTTGACCTTTAAAGCCCTATGTGGCCTAGGACCCTCGTACCTACGGGACCGCCTCTCCTGGTATGCCCTGTGGAGAACCTTAAGGTCCACAAATGACAACACTTTGGAGGTCCCAGGTCACAAGGTGGTTAGATTGGTCTCAACTAGGGCCAGGGCCTTTTCAGCACTGGCCCCGACTTGGTGGAACGCTCTGTCACAAGAGACCAGGGCCTTGCGGGACTTGACATCTTTCCGCAGGGCCTGCAAGACAGAGCTGTTCCTCCTGGCCTTCGGCTTGGACTCAGTCTGACACTTATGTTTTCCCTCCCCTTATGGTCTTGATTTTTGGGCTACCTTTAAAATGAGGCTGCATTTTAAATTGCATTTTAACCTGTATTTTAAATTGCCCCCCCCATTAAGTTTTTACTGTAATTTTTACTGTTGTTAGCCGGCTCGGCGGGGGAGGGCAGGGTATAAATAAAATTTATTATTACAGCATCTTAAAAAGCAGAGACATCCCCTTGCCAACAAAGGTCCGTAGAGTTAAAGCTCTGGTTTTCCCAGTAGTGATGTATGGAAATGAGAGCTGGACCATAAAGAAGGCTGATCACTGAAGAATTGATGCTTTTGAATTCTGGTGCTGGAGGAGACTCTTGAGAGTCCCATGGACTGCAAGAAGATCAAACGTATCCATTCTGAAGGAAATCAGCCCTGAGTGCTCCCTGGAAGGACAGATCCTGAAGCTGAAGCTCCAAGACTTTGGCCACCTCATGAGAAGAGAAGACTCCCTGGAAAAGACCCTGATGTTGGGAAAGATGGAGGGCACAAGGAGAAGGGGAAGACAGAGGACGAGATGGTTGGACAGTGTTCTCGAAGCTACCAGCATGAGTTTGACCAAACTGCGGAGGCAGTGGAAGAGAGTAGTGCCTGGCGTGCTCTGGTCCAGGGGGTCACGAAGAGTCGGACACGACTAAACGACTAAACAACAACAATATTATTACAGTGGTACCTCGGGTTACATACACTTCAGGTTACATATGCTTCAGGTTACAGACTCTGCTAACCCAGAAATAGTGCTTCAGGTTAAGAACTTTGCTTCAGGATGAGAACAGAAATCGTGCAGCGGCGCTGCAGCAGCAGGAGGCCCCATTAGCTAAAGTGGTGCTTCAGGTTAAGAACAATTTCAGGTTAAGTACATAAGAACAATTTCAGGTTAAGTACGGACCTCCGGAATGAATTAAGTACTTAACCCGAGGTACCACTGTATTACTATTGTAGTCTAACAATGCGCTGCATGAAGAAGCCCTTTATTCCTTGTCCCGGCCAAGTCTTGACTCAGCACCTGGTTTTTAATAAGGACACAGGACGGGGAATCAAAGGCTGGCAGAGAAAGAGAGAGAGAGAGATGCCCTATGGAAATGTGGTTTCCTTGGCATGTTGCCTGTGTGACGTTGGACATGCCTTTCGCTTGCCGCTGCCCCTTCCTGGGTCATTAACCCCGGAGTGGCATGTTTGCTGGTGCCGCGGCCTCTCTGTCAATGAACTTGCTGGCGTACAAATGCCAGGGAAGAACCGGAGAAGAGAGGGATGTGAGTCAGTCCAAAAGCAGCCTTGAGCAGCGGGACTCTGACCTCGCTTTGCAAACACAACCGCAGGAGAGGCTATGCTGGGGCTTGGGATCAGAAGGAGTCGGCTGCTTGCCTGATGCAGGATTGACAGGACCCCCGGAGGAAGCTCCCCATATGGAAGGAACCATGGAGTCTTTGGACCTTGTGGAAGACCCACGGTAAGCAGCCAGGGACCTTGTTCTAGGTGGAGCCGCTTTTGGGTTCCAGACCCTCCACGTGTCCCTTTTTTCCAGCACCAGTCCTGCATTTACAGAAGCCGATTTGATCCAGGAAAGTCCAGGTATGGAGTTATGTGACCCCCAAGCTAAGGAGATAAGGGACTATACAACCTTTAAAAGACACTTGCAGGCAACCCTGTATAGGGAAATTTTTTTTAATGTTCAATGTTTTATTATGTTTTTATATTTGCTGGAAGCTGCCCAGAAAAGCTGGGGTAATCCAGTCAGATGAGTGGAGTATTATTATTATTATTACACAGGACGTCCCTATTTTATCAGAAAAATATTGGAGGGTATGGGTGTTCCATCCATGATGATGCCTGGAGTTTTGAGGTGCATTGGTCAAGAATGGGGGCAAGGAAGGTCTCATTTGAGAGGGGTCTCTACACAGGCTTGTCCCCAGAACCTGTTCCTTGGACGCAGACAGTATCTGCTAGGTCTGTCAACCAGCAACCTAATTTGTAGCCCATGAATCATCTGTCTCTGAGAAAATGTTGGTCAGCTCATCAGTTAAATATTTTCAAGGATAGTTTCCTCTGTGTCTAAAACCTTGCGATCTCTCCGAGATGCTGAAAGAAGCACGAGATAAATCACAACAAATTGAATCAGGGAGGGTTACTGCTCTCAGAATGAAAAGCAAACCAGTGTGCCTGTAATTTTTGTCCCTCTGTTTAAAGCGGTCCCAACTGCAGAGGCAGAGCAGGGCTGTCCTGGCTAGTAGCCCCCAATAACCCTCCCCTCCATAAATTCATCTAATCCTCCCTTAAAGCCATCTAGGTTGGTGGCTCTCACTGCCTCCTGTGGCAGTGAGTTCCATAGTTTAACTCTATGCTGCATGAAGAAGGACTTCATTTTATCTCTCCTGAATCTTCCAACATTCAGTGTCCTTGGATGTCCACAACATCTGGTATTATGAGAGAGGGAGGGGGAAAAAATTCTCTACCCACTTTCTGTATGTCAGGCATCATTTCATAAACTTCTATCATGTATATACGATATACGATGTGCGATATCTTTATTGTCATTGTCCCATGCAGAACAATGAAATTGAAAAACTACATAAAACTACTACAAAACTACATAAAACATTCAAAAAACCCTAAAAACTCTGAAACCCCATTTTAAATTACACTATACTATAGAGACCCCTTATGCTGCGTTTAGAACCAGAATTGCATTTGCATAGAAACTGCTTCTCAGGCGGCTGGTCCTAGTCTTTATAACCCTGTACCTTCTTCCAGAAGGCAGAAGCTGAAAGAGATCATTTCCGGGGTGCGCACTATCCTGCGCTATCTGTGCAGCTTTCTTATGGCACCTGGCAGCATAGATTTGATCCAAGGTGGGAAGAGGGCACCCAATTATTCACCTGTTCCTGACATTTCTCAAAACTGAAAAGTCCCAAATGCTGCATGGGGAGTTCCCCCATTCCTCTGATTATTTTAGTGGCCCTTTTCTGAACCTTTCCCAACCCTATAATATCCTTTTTTGGGTGAGGCAACCAGAACTGTACACAGTATTCCAAATGATCTGTATCCCACCATAGATCTGTATATCAGTGCTATGTTATCGGCAGTTTTGCTTTCATTTGCTTTCCCAATGACACCCAGCATGCAATTTTCCTTCTCCACTCATTCACGCTACTTGAATAATAAAGCAAGAGCAATGTTGTGCATGCACAGAGTGCATAAAATGATAATATCACTTTTTTGTTTTTGTTTTTTGGACACAATCTAGTGGGTGGGAAGCTTTTAATGTTTGATGGATTACTGTATTTTAACATTTTGTTGGAAGCTGCCCAGAGTGGCTGGGGAAGCCCAGCCAGATGGGCGGGGTATAAATAGTAAATTATTATTGTTAATGAACCAACCTCTGAACGTTACTTGGCGAAAGCATCTCAGTGCTGCTCTGGGGCTTGTTGGAGAGGAGCAGAGTTTTCAAAGTCCCTTAATGCGGTTCCCTCATTGCGAGAAGTGAGGTTACAGGGAACCAGGCAGAGGGCCTTCTCGGTAGTGGCACCCGCCCTGTGGAACACCCTCCCTTCACATGTGAAAGAAATAAGCAGCTATCCTATCTTTAAAAGACATCTGAAGGCAGCCCTGTTCAGGGAAGTTTTTAATATTTAACGCTGTATTGTTTTTAATACTTGATTGGGAGCCGCCCAGAGTGGCTGGGGAAACTCAGCCAGATGGGCGGGGTATAAATAATAAATTATTATTATTATTATTATCTCACAGCAAGAGGGGGGTTCTTTCATCTCCATCACAGGTTTGCCCCTGAACTGATCCACCTGCTGATCCACAATTTTAGCATCCCGGTCGCCTGCTTCTCCCACCCACCGACCGCCCTGCAGCTGCTGCAGCGTAAGTTGGCAAAGCTGGAGGGGTTTGAAGCTACGAAGGAGAGAAGGAAACATTGGCTCCCTTTGCGGCAAAGTGTCTTGCAGAATCCTGCGCAGGAGAGTCGCCCGCCTCCTTGTGATGCCAGAGGACCTGAAATTGCAGGGTTGCAGAGGAGGCGAGTGGCAGACCCCCTGAGTTGCATGCAGAAGGTCCCAGGGCTGAAATATTGGAGAGCTGCTGGCAGTCAGTGTAGACAGTACTGAGTTAGTTGGACCCAATGGTCTGACTTGGTATAAGGGAGCTCAGAACAATGAGGACTGGAATCTTGTTCTGTTTTTAAGGGTAAGGTTGTAGCTTAGTGGAGAAGCATCTCCCAGGTTCAGTTTTTGTCATCTCCAGATAGGCTGGGAAAGACTCCCTTGACTGACACCCGGGAAAGACACTGCCAGCCAGTGCGGACAATATTGAGGTAGATGGAGCAATGGTTTGCCTCGATACAGTGTGGTTCAGGTCTGTCGAAGAGTCAACTTCTTTACCTGCAAAGGCAGAGAGCATCCCTAGAAGCTCAGAGGGGGCCCTTTTGCCACTTGGGCGATTTTCTGGGGACCGCATGACAGAAGTGGGCGAAGCCAGAGACAAACAAGAGCGACAGGTGCCACTCACACTTCCATAAGGTTAGAGGCTCCTAGAGATGCTCACGCTTCTCTGATCTGGCCTGGGAGGGGGTGGAGACTGGGAAGCATGTGGACAGAGAGACAGAGAAGCTTGCAGGGTTGCATTTGGCCCACGGCCTGAGGTCACCGAACTCTGTCTTAACTGGACATGATCGGAACTTAACCCGCAGTCCGTGCCACCCCCTGTTGCCCCACCAATGCCCCCCTTTCCCGTCAGAGGATCAGGCCACAGAGCCAGGGCGAGGCGGGCTCCCCAGACTTCTCCATGGTTGCGTCCTGATCCTCCTAGGACCCAACTCTGGAAAGAATTATGGTGTCAGGAAAGGTCTACTACAAGGGTCAGCAAACTTTTTCAGCAGGGGGCCGGTCCACTGTCTCTCGGACCTTGTGGGGGGCCGGACTATATTTTTTTGGGGAGGGGAATGAATGAATTCCTATGGCCCACAAATAGCCCAGAGATGCATTTTAAATAAAAGCACACATTCTACTCATGTAAAAACACGCTGATTCCCAGACCGTCTGCAGGCCGGATTGAGAAGTTGATTGGGCCTGATCCGGCCCCCAGGCCTTAGTTTGCCTACCCCTGGTCTACTACCTAATGGGCCAGAGGCGGGGGATATTTGCAGAAAGAAACCTGTAAATGGCAAGTGACTGCAATTGAGGGGGGGATTTTACTACGGCGGAAGTGACAATCATATAATTGTAGAGATGGAAGGGACCCCAGGGGTCATCTAGTCCAACCCCCTGCAAGGCAGGAATCTCAGCTAAATATCCTGGAAGGACTGCATTGCAGGTGTATGCCTATTCACAAGGACCAGTGCAGCTGGGGGCTGATTTCCTCCTATATAAATAAAAATGTAGGATGTCGTCATGCTGTGCAGTTTGTGCAATGTGAGGAACTTGCAGCTGGCCCAGATGGTCTGTGGGACAGAGTCTGGGGGAGTTTTAGCAAGCCCTTCCCTCTGTAAAACACATCTCCATCAGAAGGAGGGGGGCCCTTTGCACGGTGCCTCCCCTCGCCCAGAATTTTAACAGAGCAGAGAGGGACTTCACAGAGCCGGTTTAACAAGCTGATGGGTGGAGCTGATGGGTGGGGCTTGGGGGTCAGAAGGGAGGGGCTTGTGGAGATGGGTGAGAGGGTGGGTAGAATGGAAAGGGGGTGGTCCGGTGCAGGGAAGGGCAAAGTGGGAGGGGGGGTTGGCGAGCGGAATGCGTTTGAGCAGCAGCCCCCAGTTAAAACTACAGAACTGGAAGGGACCACGGGTGTCATCTAGTCCAGCCGTTCTCAACCTGTGGGTCCCCAGATGTTGTTGGACTACAACTTCCATCATCCCTGAGCTCTGACCTTGCTGTTGTTGTTTAGTCATTTAGTCGTGTCCGTCTTTTTGTGACCCCCTGGACCAGAGCACGCCAGGCACTCCTGTCTTCCACTGCCTCCCGCAGTTTTGTCAGACTCATGTTTGTAGCTTCGAGAACACTGTCCCACCATCTCGTCCTCTGTTGTCCCCTTCTCCTTGGGCCCTCCATCTTTCCCAGCATCAGGGTCTTTTCCAGGGAGTCTTCTCTTCTCATAAGGTGGCCAAAGTCTTGGAGCCTCAGCTTCAGGATCTGTCCTTCCAGTAAGCACTCAGGGCTGATTTCCTTCAGAATGGAGAGGTTTGATCTTCTTGCAGTCCATGGGACTCTCAAGAGTCTCCTCCAGCACCATAACTGAAAAGCATCAATTCTTCAGCGATCAGCCTTCTGGATGGTCCAGCTCTCACTTCCATACATCACTGGCATTGCTAGCTAGGGGTGAGGGGAGTTGTAGTTCAACAAGATCTGGGGACCCACAGGTGGAGAAAGGCTGATTTACTCCAACCCCCTGCAATGTAGGACTCTTTTGCTCAACGTGATGTTCGAACCCGTGACTCGTGAGTCTCGTGCTCTACCTAGAGATGTTTCTGAAGAGCTCCCACAAACATTGGCTCACTGTTCCTTGCAGAGCTGAACCTCGTGGACCTTGCCATCACTGGCATGGCGACCTTCCTCACGCTGCTGTCCGTCATCATCTTCGTGGAAGACGCCCTGTATCTCTCTAGAAAGGTCCGCTGCTTCGTCAAGATGAAAACCCTCATCTGGAGCAGCTCTGCGCCCACCGTAAGTGCCCGTTCCTCGGTTACCTGTCTCTGGTACCTCCCCCCCTAGACTACTGCAATGACGATCCCTGGGGCTGCCCTTGGTGGCAGCCAGGCAAATGCATTTAGTATGCAGAGCAGTAACTGAGGCTGGGATGATCCTGGGCTGGGGAGATCCTGGACCAAAATTAGTAGTGCCTTGGAAGATGGCAGACTCTTATATCTTATATAGGATTATATAAGATCGTATTGTACCAACCACACCGTATTAGCAGAACTTGAGTGATACTTGTAAACACACCAAATACCATTTGTGGAGTAGACGGGAACAATATTAAAGAATATAAAACTGTGCGAAAAACACGACAGTATAAACAGTACAACGAGAATGATTGGAAGACTTGTTTTGTCAGAAGTCTTTTTATTTAAGTGTTTATTTAAGTATTAATTCGGAAGATTAAGTTTTTTTATGCACATAAATCTGCTTTTTCTTCTTTCTTTTTTCTTATTTCTTTTTTATTTAATTTTCTTTTATAGGATGAGATTGTAAATCCTTTGTATATGTGTGTAGTTTAAATTAATAAAGATTATTTTTTAAAAAAGGAAGATGGCAGACTCTCCTGGGTTGGGGGTTTTTTAAGCAGGGGTTGGGTGAGGGATTCCTTCAGCTGTGATTCCTGCATTGCGGGGGGGGGGGTTGGACTAGATGACCCCTGGGGGTCCCTGCCAACTTTTATGATTCGATGAGTGGGGAGCAGCTGCTGTTGCGCTCAGGTCCTGCTCCCGGGCTTCCCTTTGGTGGCAGTGAGAGCAGGATTCTGCCCCCACTGGACGCCTTGGGTCTGGATCAAATTGCTGCTGCTCCTTTTGCATTCTCAGCCCTGCCTCCCTTTCTCTGCCAGGTGGTCTCGGTGTTCTGCTGTTTCGGGCTTTGGGTTCCCCGATCCTTGAATGTGGTGGAGATGGCCATTGGCGCGTGAGTACCTCCCCGGGGAGACCCTCCCATTCCACCCAAATTGTAATTTGACTAAATTTGAATTCCACTGGATAGTGACAGCCAAAACAACAGCCCTGTCCTTAACATCCTCTGCTGAAACTTCTCCCAGGCATTCGACAGATTATGATGAAACGGTTTGCACCAAAAGTGTTTTTTTGCTGTTTTACTGTGTCTGTTCTATGGGTTTTGGGATTGAGTTTTATCTCAATGTTTTGTAACGCCCCAGTCTCCAAGCGGAGAGAGACTCTAGGGGTTCCTAGCACTTACCTAGGTTTGCGTTTCCTTGCAACGAAGGAAGACTGTGCTGCCCTTAGGATATATGGCTTTATTGGTACGTATACCTCCATGATCACTGCAGATGGTGACGGCAGCCACGAAATTAAAAGACGCCTGCTTCTCGGGAGAAAAGTGATGACAAACCTAGACAACATCTTAAAAAGCAGAGACATCACCTTGCCAACAAAGGTCCGTATAGTTCAAGCTCTGGTTTTCCCAGTAGTGATGTATGGAAGTGAGAGCTGGACCATCAAGAAGGCTGATCGCCGAAGAATTGATGCTTTTGAATTCTGGTGCTGGAGGAGACTCTTGAGAGTCCCATGGACTGCAAGAAGATCAAACCTCTCCATTCTGAAGGAAATCAGCCCTGAGTGCTCACTGGAAGGACAGATCCTGAAGCTGAGGCTCCAAGACTTTGGCCACCTCATGAGAAGAGAAGACTCCCTGGAAAAGACCCTGATGTTGGGAAAGATGGAGGGCACAAGGAGAAGGGGACGACAGAGGACGAGATGGTTGGACAGTGTTCTCGAAGCTACCAGGATGAGTTTGACCAAACTGCGGGAGGCAGTGGAAGACAGGAGTGCCTGGTGTTCTCTGGTCCATGGGGTCACGAAGAGTCGGACATGACTAAACGACTAAACAACAACAACAACAAACAACGTACGATGCAGGTGCTCACAGCATCAACACCCCAATGGATCTTGCTTCTCTGTTCGGTTTCTGGAGAAGCCCCAAAGTCCAGCACACAGCATGCAGTTCTCTGTGTCTCCTGCTTCCAGCCGGCCTCCATCTCAATCACACACAACACTGGCTGTTGTTCTCCTTCCTGCCTAGCAGCTAAGTGAGGCAGGTGTCCTTCAAGGCCCACCCATTCGCTTCTATGGCACAGGGCCTCTTCTTTGGCTGTGCCAGCTTGTGGCATTTAACTAGCTGCCAAAACCGTTACCTTGACAAAGTTTGGCAAGCTTCCCCTTGTACATTCTAACCTCACCAATACAGAATCCCAGGTTTGGAAGGGGACCCCTGGGTATCATCCAGACTGACCCCGCAAACTCATAACAGCGTTTTTCAGTTCCCCACCTTTTGCCTTTAAAAATAAATTGTTTTCTGTTCTTTTGTTGTTGTTGTTGTTTAGTCGTTTAGTCATGTCTGCCTCTTCGTGACCCCCTGGACCAGAGCACGCCAGGCACTCCTGTCTTCCCCTGCCTCCTGCAGTTTGGTCAAACTCATGCTGATAGCTTCGAGAACACTGTCCAACCATCTCATCCTCTGTTGTTCCCTTCTCCTTGTGCCCTCCATCTTTCCCAACATCAGGGTCTTCTCCAGGGTCTTTTCCCATGAGGTGGCCTTTACAGCATTGGACTTTCCTTTCGCTTCCAGGCATATCCGCAACTGAGCGTCCTTTTGGCTTTGGCCCAGCCGCTTCATCAGCTCTGAATCTACTTGTACTTGTCCTCCGCTCTTCCTCAGTAGCATGTTGGACGCCTTCCGACCTGAGGGGCTCATCTTCCAGCGTCATAACTTTTATATGCCTGTTGTCTTTGTCCATGGAGTTTTCTTGGCAGGGATGCCTGTTCCTCCTCCAGGTGGATCACGTTTGGTCAAAACTCTCCACTATGACCTGTCCATCTTGGGTGCCCTGCCTGGCATAGTTCATAGCTTCTCTGAGTTATTCAAGCCCCTTCGCCATGGCAAGGCAGTGATCCATGAAGGGGCTTTTTGTTCTTAACCGACTAATAATATAAACAGAGCAATAAATGCAATTATTAACATGGCTTTCGCTGTTCCTCTTCCAGGTACTTTGCCGTCTGCTTCTACCTGCTGATGCTGATCATGGTGGAAGGTTTTGGGGGCACGGAGGCTGTGCTCAAGGCCTTGAAGGACACCCCGATGGTGATCAGCACGGGGCCCTGCTGCTGCTGCTGCCCCTGCTGCCCTCGCATCACTATGACCAAGTGAGTGGAAGGCTCCCAGGTCCCCCCTGATCCGGCAGCCACGATCCCCACCCCTGCCTGCCTCCTTCTTTGCAACATCTGGGTGCCTTTGGGCTCTGGCGCCACCTGCTGTTGGTCCTCCAACATACAATATAAAAAGCACAAAATATGCTCTACCCACTGAGCCGCACAGCCCTCTCCCCAGTGGTGTTTCGGGGTGGATGGTTTTGGGAGAGGGTGGAATCCCCATTGCCTCTTCTTCCAACACAGCGAAAGGTTGCTTGAGCTTTGACCGGGACGTGGGCCTTTCCTGGGCACAAACACCCGTCTCCTCCTCCTCCCTCCTCTCTCTTAACCGCAGGCGAAAACTGAAGCTGATCATGTTGGGGAGTTTCCAGTACGCCTTCCTCAAGGGAGCCTGCATCTTCCTGGGGCTCGTTCTCACCACGGAGGGCCTGTACGACACCTCTGACGTAAGTCCCACCACCTGCAGCCGCCTTGCCCTCCAAAATTTAGCTGGAGTCGGAAAGGGGCCTCGGGAGGTCCTCCAGCCCAACCCGGGTTGATACACCCGCCCCTTCTCCCTCGTGCGCCTATGAAACTTCTCCTAAGACACAGCCAGGCACACGCTCACACCCAGCAGTGGATCTCCCCCTGTTCACCCAGCTGCGGTTCCGCCTGGATCAGGCCACAAATTTCCGCTGACTGCACCATCCTGCTTCCCAGCTGGCTGGCTAGACGACTCTGGGAAGCCCAAGAGGAAGGCAAAACAGCCCCTTCCACTGTTGCTGCTCAGCAGACGTCACATGGAGAAGCCCAGCCAGATGGGTGGGGTATAAATAATAAATTATTATTACTATTATTACCCTCGTATCTACAGGACCGCCTCTCCCGGTATGCCCCGCGGAGAACCTTAAGGTCCATAAATAGCAACACCCTCGAGGTCCCGGGCCCTAAGGAAGTCAGATGAGCCTCAACCAGAGCAGGGCCTTTTCAACACTGGCCCCGGCCTGGTGGAACGCTCTGGCTCATGAGACCAGGGCCCTGCAGGATCTGATTTCTTTCCACAGGGCTTGTAAGACAGAGTTGTTCTGCATGGCCTTCGGCTTCGAATCAACTTGATTCCCTCCCCCTCTTTCCTTTTTCCTTCTGTGATGGAACTCCTGTTGGGGACTTCCCTGGCTTTTTTCTGGCCCACGTAGGACCAGTCTGGATAGTTGGCCATAGTGAATATTTGACGTTTTCATCCCCCAAAAGCTTTTGATTTGAGTTCCCACTGAAATGAGGCTGCATTTTAATGTTGTATTTTAATCTTGTTTTTAAGTTGTATTGTAGCCTTATGAGGGCGGGGTATAAATAAAATTTAATAATAATAATAATATCACGCTCCCTGGAGGCTCCACTCAGCCATGACGGTTAAATGACCATCTTTCGTGGATGCGCAAGATTCCTGCAATGCAGGGAGGGTTGACTATCGATGACCCTCGGGTCCCTTCCACCTTTATGATTCTACTGCCATTTCTTTGGATCTATTATCCTCCTTTTATTTATTTATTTTATATAATTTTTCCATTTGATTAAAAATATATATAAACATGCAACAACAACAACAAAACAATTCAAGATCCAAATTTTGAGATTACTCTGAATCTCCTGACTCCCCCCCCCAATCCCTTCCATGGGTCCTAGTGATAATATTTACAACTGCATATCAACACTATCCAGATTTTATCCTTCCGAATTATCCATACTTTCCGTTAATTTACAAGTGTGGTTAATATCCTGATCATGTTTTAACCTGCTTATAGGGGAAATTATTATTGCCACTCCTCCCTGAGTCTTCCTGGCCAAGCCTCGTGTGTATTTTATTAATCAGAGTCCAATCCTTCCTTGCTTTGGGAATGCTACAAGGACAGATTAAAGGAAGGACTTCTTCAGGCAGCATGTAGTTAAACTATGGAACTCCCTGCCACATGAGGCAGTGATATCCAACAACTTGGATGGCTTCAGAAGAGGAAAAGATCAATTCATGGAGGATAAAGCGATCAGGGGCTACTGACCGAGGACAGAGCTGTCTCCACAGCCAGAGGCAGCGATGCTTCTGAATGCCACTTCCTGGAAACCACAGGAGGGGAGAGTGTTGCCCTGGGTTCGAATCTTGCTTGAGGATTTCCAACAGGAACCTGGTTGGCCACTTTGAAAACCGGGTGCTGGAGGAGATGGGCCCCTGGCCTGATGCAGCCGGGTTCCTCTTACGTTCTCGCCTTCTTGCCTTCTAGATATCAGCCACAAGCGTGGCTCTGTGGATCAACACCTCCCTGGGAGTGTCGACCTTATTTGCTCTGTGGGCAAACGCGGTCCTCTTTCGGCAAGCCAGAGCCCACTTGTCGGAGCAGAACATGGGCTGCAAGTTCGCCTGCTTCCAGGTAACCTCGTCTCTCTCTCTCTCTCTCTCCTCTCATGTTCACGGTCCTTGCATTAATTTACAAAGTCATGATCAACTTAAGTCCGGTATATATGTCAGTATATATGAACTCTTATATCCCAGCTCAGTCACTCAGATAATCTGCATTGTCTGGTCGAGTTGGTGAGGCTCCTTTGATGACAAGGAGAAACCCAGCCTTTAGTGTCATCAGGCCAGTCGTGTGGAACTCACTGCCACTAGAAATTCAGCCGGCGCCTCCGGTTTCAACTTTTCAATGCCTGCTGCAAACTTTTTTTATTTCGCCAGGCTTATGTAGGCAATTAAGAAGATGTATCTCCACAATAGTTACCTGATTTCTGTTTTTAACTTTTGTTGTTTGTGTACCGTTTATACTTTTAAAATACTTTTAAGTTCTATTATAGTGCAATTAACTGTTATTTTTAATGTGCTTTTAGCCTTCTGCATTGTGTCTGCGTCGTTTTAATTTGTGTAAGCCACCTTGAGTAAAAAGAAAAGAAAAGCTGGGTATTAATAAATATAACACCAATATCGATTGTTGTCGTTATTGAAATTTGTATATCGCTCTTCGTCTGAAGATCTCAGTGCGGTTCACAGAATGAAACCACTCTGATATTTTTTTTTTCAAAAAATATGAATAGTGATATATATATATTTATTTAAAAATACATTATAAGTAACCAAGCTGACTTTCCAAATAAGATGCCCAACTCAGCCTGGGTGCTGACGCCCCAAGGCTTCTCAGTCGCCCCTTCATGTCCCTGGTCCTCATTGCTCCTCATCCTTTTTTTATTATATATATATATATATACACATACACACACACACATATAAATTATAAAATGCACCACAAAACTTATCACTTATACAATCTTTTTAGACTTCCATCAGCACCTCTGATGATCCACCGTTTTAACCGCTTCTTATGCATTTCTTAACTTTATGCTGCCTTTACATCTCTTAACAAATCATCCTCCCCTTTATCCATTTTGGTAATACTTCCAATAATACTCCTCACAAAACTTCTTGCAAACCTACAAACGTTGTCTGATCTTCACAAATACTTTTCAAGTAGTCCGTAAATTTACTCCAGTCTTCCGTGAATTTTTGGTCCTGCCGGTTTCGAATCCTTCCTGTTAGTTTATCTAGTTCTGCATAGTCCATTAACTTCATTCTCCATTCTTCAATCGTCGGTAATTCTTCTTGCTTCCATTTTTGGGCCAGAAATATTCTTGCTGCTGCTGTTGCATATGAAAAGAGCTTACATTCCTTTCTGTTTATATCACACCCCACAATGCCCAGTAAAAATGCTTCTGGTTTCTTTATGAATGTATATTTCAACATTTTTTTTCATCTCATTATATATCATCTCCCAGGAGATTTCACCTTTTTACATTCCCACCACATGTGATTAAATGTTCCCTCTTTTTCTTTACATTTCCAACATTTATTACTAACTTTATACATTTTCGCCAGGTCCTCCTCATTCTGACAGCGCTGCAGCCCTCCATCTTCAGCACCCTGGGCAATGGTGGCCAAATTGCCTGCTCTCCACCGTTCTCCTCCAGAGTGCGGTCCCAGAGTGAGTGGAAACCCGATGGTTTTTTTTGGGGGGGTGTCAAAAAGAAAGGAAGCACCCTGAGGCTGTGTTGTGGGGTGGTAGCAGTGGCCCTTGAGGAAGCAAATTGGTAAGCGGTTAAGGATAGCTCTCTAAAGGTATCTCGAGGGCTGACCCACGGAAGAGGGAGCGAGCTTGGTTTCACCTGCTCCGGAGGGTAGGACTCGAACCCATGGCCTCAAGTCACAAGAAAGGATTCCGACTAAGCATCAGGAAGAACTTTATTATGCTTAGAGCCATTCCGCAGTGGAAAGGACTCCCTCAGAAGGCAGTGGACTCTATTTCATTGGAGATTTTTTACGCAGAGGTCAGATGGCAAGAGGTCAGTTGAGATTCCTGCATTGCAGGGGGTTGGACTTTATGACCCATGGAGTCCCTTCCAATTCTACAATTCTAGTGGTGCATGCTCTGGTTATCTCCTACTTGGACTCCTGCATGCGCTCTATGTGGGGCTACCTTTGAAGGTGAGCCGGAAACTACAATTAATGCAGAATGCGGCAGCTAGACTGGTGACTGAGAGCGGCCGCCGAGACCACATAACACCGGTCCTGAAAGACCTACATTGGCTCCCAGTATGTTTCCGAGCACAATTCAAAGTGTTGGTGCTGACCTATAAAGCCCTAAACGGCCTCGGCCCAGTATACCTGAAGGAGCGCCTCCACCCCCATCGTTCAGCCCAGACACTGAGGTCCAATGCCGAGGTCCTTCTGGTGGTTCCCTCGCTGCGAGAAGCCAAGTTACAGGGAACCAGGCAGAGGGCCTTCTTGGTAGTGGCGCCCGCCCCGTGGAACGCCCTCCCACCTGATGTCAAAGAGAAAAATAACTACCAAACTTTTAGAAGACATCTAAAGGCAGCCCTGTTTAGGGAAGCTTTTAATGTTTACTAGGTTATTGTATTTTAGTGTTTTGTTGGAAGCTGCCCAGAGTAGCTGGGGGGACCCAGTCAGATGGGCGGGGTATAAATAAATAAATTATAATAATTATAATTATAATTATTTTTTAAGGGCCTTGCTGCTGCTGGACAAAGAAACCGAGCCTTTAGTATTAGCGGCACGGTCCTGCGGAACTCTCTGCCACTAGACTAGAGAGTCAGCAGTTGCCTTCTCTTTTAATGCCAGGCATCTGCCCTGGCATCCTGCAGCTGGGATGACTGGGGCTGTAGTCAAAAACATCTGGATGGCACCAGGTGGGCAAAGGTTGCATTTGTGGGAAGCGGAGAAGCCAGTGACCTTCCCCCGGGAAAAGGGCCGGACTCATTCTCCTCCATCTTTGATTGCAGTGATGCACGCGCAGCTCCTGGTCCTGGAAACCTTCATCATGGCTGTGCTGACCAGGATGTACTACAGGAAGCCGGACGACAAGCCAGGCTGTTGCCCGGCCGGAGGTTTGCCAGAGAGCAAAGCAGAAATCGGTCTCTCGGCTGCCTAGGAACAGGAGTGCCCAGCAGGGCTATCGGAGGCCCCCAACCCTCTTGCCAACATTTGTTCCGGGATCTCAAGAACATGTGGCCTTCCTTGCAGGGGGAAGGGACAAGGGACTGATTCTGCCTTGGGACAGGCACATGGACATATGACCCTTTGTACAAGAATGACTTTAGGACAACTGTAATTTGTGCAGCTATAGTCAAAAATGCCTGGGGCACATGGAATAAATCTATTTTATGCTGTATTGGTTATTAATCCCTAGCCCGCTCCTAGTATGAAAAGCAATCCCAGAGTGTCTTCTTCTTCTTCTTTGGCGATCCCTCGTAGCCGAGTAAGATGGTTTTCCATGAACACGGCTTTAAAAGTGAATCCCTAAGTGACTGTGGAGGCCACTTCAGGATCCACAGGTCCTTCCACGGTGGGTTTCTGGGCGGGAGTTGATCACGGCGAGGGTTTGCCAAGCATGCCTTCCTCTTAGCACATTTCTCCCTTTTGTCCTGAGTTCGAGTCTCTTCAAAGTCTATGGCACCTTTGAAGTCCAGTTGGAGTGCTCGCAGGCCAGTGTTCCCCACTTATCAGTGCCTATGTTACATTTTTAAAGATTTGCCTTGAGAGCATCTTTAAACCTCTTCTGTTGTCCACTGGTATTTCACTTTCCATTCTTGTGTTGGAAAGAGAGTAGTCGCTTTGGAAGACATCCGCACAACATGACCAGTCCAACGAAGTTGATGTTGAAGAATCATTGCTTCGACACTGGCGATCTTTGCTTTTTCCAGTACACTGGCATTAGTTCACCTGTCTTCCCAAGTGATGTGTAAATATTTTCGGAGACACCTGTGTGATTAGAACCCCTTTTTGGATTCTCTGCACTGCTGTTTTTTTTGGACAGGTGATCCTGTCAGTGTGTCTTTTGGAGTCACAGAATCATAGAGTTGGATGGGACCCTGGGGTCATCTAGTCCAACCCCCTGCAATGCAGGAATCTCCCATTTGAGAGCGTTGTCGTCCTCCCAGCCCTCGTGACCCAAGGCTATGGGGACCTGTGGCGGGAGCTGTGCAAATCTGGCATGGCTTGTGAGATGAGAGCTTGGCACCACAATAAGGAAGCAGGGAGATGAAAGCTGATTTTTGAAACATTAAGGAAAACCCGCAAGTATTTTGGGTAAAATGACATTTATTTGGCTAAAACGCATAAGTGGAAGAAAAAAGGAAGAACGCACAAAACAACCCCCATTCAGCTTGCAGCAGAACCGGGAGCTTGCGATTCACAGAGACAGGAAACTGGGACACTTAACACTGATTGAAAGAGGCATGGCTAGGAGAGAAATGTCCATCACCACCAGTCTCTGTGGCTAGAGAGAGCTCTGTTGAGGCAACCAGTTAAAGATTTCTGTTTGGGTGTTTTTACGTTGGCTTCCCTGCAAAGGACACCATGAATGGCATTTGCCCAGCATAGGAAATCTTGACATCATGCAGCTCAAACCATCTAGTGTCAAAACCTGGCTCCTTAAAGAGAGATCTTCCAGGTCTTTGCTAAGCCAACGAGCAAGGAAGGTTGGGGAAACTAAAAAACCCCTTAATTCTTCCTGTTTATTAGTGCTAAAAAACTGGTAACTGTTTCTACCACAGACATGTTTGCTCCTCTCTGAAAAAGGAGAGCTAGCCTGGATGAAACTTTACGATGCAGGGCGGTCACTGAGGAATTGAGCTGGTCTCAAAGGCCTGAACTGGGCAGCCTTAAGACTTGGCTAGAAACCCTGCGACAATGCAGTGATAGGACCAGATCTCATATGGCTTTTAGGAAAACACAGCAGCTGTAATAGGGAACGGAAATTATGTGCCACTGAGGCCCCACAATGCAAGAAGGGAGTTTCACAAAGGCCCATTTTTCAAGTGGTCCAATGTACAAGATGCTTCAATGCTGGTATTTTCAGGATGGACGGCTGTCAGAAGGTGCCTCAATTCTGCAACTCTCACATGGCCAACGAAAGGTTGGTTTGGATGTTACTGGAGTGGCATGAAAGCTGCCCAAACATGGCTTGGGTCCCACGATGCTCTGCTAGCATATGTGAAGTACCACCATGTGGCTTTTCAAATCCATTATGGGACTCATAACAATACTGTCATCGGCCAGAGCACAAGGACTCTGCTCTGGGTGGAAACTTGGGACAGTCAGAGGTTGCCCTGTGTAGCGGTTCCTCCCCAATTACGACCCTTTTTTTATTTAAAAAAACCTGTGTTGAGGACTAAAGAGTTATATGAATAATGAGTGCAGCTGTATGGGTGGAAGAGTTCAATGACATTTCCACCACATGTTCAGCTGCAAAGGAAGGAAATGCAATTTCTGGCTAAATGCATGTGGTGGCCCTGGAAAACTATTTGCTTCTGGATGCAAAGAAGTTAATAACCCTTGCCTATTTTCTCCCCCTGACTCTGGGAAGTATGGAAACCTCCAAATATTGCTAAAAGGGGTGCATCACACAGTGCCCAGGTGAGTTCATTCAGAGGCAACAGGGCTGTGCTTCACACATGACGACATAAATCTGCACAAATGCTGCAAGCAGGTTGTTCTGTGAAGGGCCTACGTTGTGTAGCAACACCCGTGTAGGGGCCATCACTTACAACTACAGGTGTGTGAGATTTGTGCACGTGCCTAACCAAAACCCACTTTTGTACAGTAATTTCGCAGGGCCGAAGTACTGTTAAGAGTACTGGCCTTTGGGTTTCTTTTGAAAAGGGCACAAAACAGAGTCAAGCACACAGGCTACATCTTTCAATGCTACCGTTGATATACAAACCTACATCTTAGAGAGAGGGACCACTGGTATAATGCAATATGTAGCAGTCACTATTTCAGCACCCCAAATCCCGTTTTTTTTTAAAGTCACCCAACAAATTTATCGGCTTTTGTAGTGACCTTTGCAAGTATCATTTCGGAATGGCTGGCTCCGTAAGTGTCTTTCCTTTAGGGCCATTGACACTCCTGTTCCCAAAGCAGTCTCCAGATGAGCCGGTTTGGGAGACAAATTCTGGGGCAAAAGAGCCACCCTGAGGTGCCGTTCCACTCCAACTCGCTGTTTTCATGGCAAAATGATCTTTTGGAAGAGCTCCCTCAAAGGAAAAGACACAAATTATCCCAAGGCCACGTGTACCACGGCAATTTTGCGGCACTGGGGAAAACTTTCAGAAGCACATTTTACCGCATGAATAACGTGGAAGGGAAATCTGCCTTGCGGCAGCTCAGTTCCTGCGTCTGTGAATCAACTTTATACAGTGTGCAAATGTTCAGAAGTGCGTCTCAAAACAATCCAACTGAACACACTTTTGAAGAGTTAAAACGGGGCAATCCAGCATTTCCAGGACTCTCCCTGTGGAATGGGAAGGCAGGCTGAGGAACAGAAATGCATTCTCCTTCAGATTTTTAAGACACCAGGGGAAACTCACAGGGAAGAGAGAGCATGGCGCTGTCTGCTTTGTGAGCTCCCACCAAAAATCCTGACGGTGTACAGCCCAGACTGACCACCACAGTGGCAATCTGGCCAACACCTCCGTTCCTGTCCAGGGACAATCTTCATGTCAGAAAATGTGTGGGCGCCAAGATGCCTTGAAGCTGTCCCGCTGAGCTCACAGAGTGTGGCAGAGGCTGTCTGCCTGCTCCGTATTCCCAGAGCACAAATAATTCCCCCCCCCCGGAGACATTTCACAAGCTGATTTTCCTACAAAGAGACAATCTCTTAAGAAAAACATTAACTCATGAAATAACCCAGACGGGCAGTCGTCCATGGTCAAGGGACAGCTGGCATCGTTCTTGACAGGGAAACATCAGAAGCAGGGACTGACTCCAGGGAAAATCCATGTGGAGCTGACAGTTAACTCTGAACATTTATTACACAGTTAACAACAAAAGCCAACAGGAGGAGCACCCCCAGACATCGGGCAGTTCACTGAAAGAGCAGCTGTTTTGCTTGATATTAATTTGCACCTTACTCAAGGCAGAGCTGAGAGTTGGCAGGGTTTGCACTCGAACACCCAGAAGATTTGGAGGTGACGCAACGAGTGTGCTGCACCCTCTGAGCTAGATCTGTGCTGCTGCTGGTCTTTCCTGGGAGCACAGCACACACGCTCAGCCATAGTTGCACAACGGGGCGGTTCCCCTCTTCCCCATGAAGGGGTGCGGGGTGGGCAGCAAAGCCCTGACCACTGGGCATTTATGACAGACACAGGCCGGCAGGAGAGCAGAGTTGCAGGATAAGACAGAGCTGCACCGTGCACTTTGGAAGCTGGGAGGCAGGAGGGCGTTAGGGTCAGGTAGGGACGTTCTGAGAAGAGATGGGTAAGTCAACAAAGGCGAGATGGGTACGTCAACGAAGACCAAACACCCGGCGCCAGGAAAGGGGTCACAAACCTTTGCATAAAGCACAACACGCAAAAGGGACAAAAATTTAAGCTTTTAACAGGTTCCCAAGTTTCCTTGTTTTCGCTGCCCAACAAGAAGTCTCAGAATGGGGAGAATCGGGGTCGCTTTTCCGGACGCTACGGAGCGAGTGCCACCCATTCAGCCCTGCCCTGGCTTTGCAACGCAACGGACATTCCACCTGAGGGCCGCGCAATGCTAGCCTGATGCTCTCCTCCAATTCGGCAGCAAGCAACTTGCCTTTGAAGCCTGGGGGGGGGGGGTTTGCTACTCCTGCTGCACATCCACAGGAACTTTAAGCCAACTTTGCCCATTTGGGAAGCGAACTGAAGTTTTTCTTTTATTATTGTGTGCGCCAGAAGCAGGAAAAGGCGGCTGAGCAGCAGACGACCCAACAACCTCACTGCGGTTACAGTGGGAATCTGCAGACATGCTTCCACCCCCCCCCTTTTTTTGCATAGCCTCCCCTCCCACTTATCTTCTGGAGGACCAGCAAACGGGGGGAACAGAAGGGCTTGCAAGGTGACCAACTTCCGCTCCGGCATCCCAAAAAGCATCTTGTGACTCCACAGCCAGCCGCCACCTCTCTCTCTCTTTACAGATTTTCTACTGCAACCGCTTCCTGCACTGCCTTAACTTCACACCGGCTCAAGGACCTTGAACTGGAGGCAGCCTATAGGAGGCAGGAGGCACCCTGGGACTTGGGGACAGGCAGGCAACGATGCTTGCCTGCAGGGCAGCCTCCCGGCTCTGCCAGCCCCCTAATTCCCCCGCCAACCAGAGCGCTCATTTCCACGAGTGGCTGGGGCCGGTTAAAAGTTTAAAAGGAATACACCTGCTTTAAAATTGGAGCCACCTTCCCCCCGTTTCCCCCAAGAAACAAGACAGCAAATAACCAATGAAAGGGGAAGTGGGGAAGGCGTTCAAACCCAACAATGCGCCCCACTCCCCAAGGCACTAGTCCTCAGCGAGAGAGGAGGAGGAGAAGGACGCTGCGTGGGTGGGCTAACACGGCAGACCCAGCCCTCTGGCGGCGGGTTGGGGGGAGGCGCTCGCTCATCGCCAGCGGTTCTCTTCATGCCTGGAGGCGGGACTCATCAAGGAAGCAGCATTTGCAGAAATCCCCGCGGGGTCCAGGCTCTCTAGTCCTCCTCATCCTCGCTGATGTCGTAGGCCACCGCCGACTTGTTCCTGGGGACGTTGGCCGGAGACGAGGGGGGCGTCCGGGCCGTGAAGGGCCAGCGGAAGGAAGGGGAGGGGGAGCGGTCGTGGGTGGGGCTGCTGCTGGGGCTCTGCTTGGGGCTGATGGCCTGCAGCATCCGCCCCTTGCCCTCCTTCAGCATGTGCTTCTGGGGAGGAAAGGCAGAGCGCTGGTCAGGAAGCTGCCGCAAAACTCGCATTAAGAATACTTGAATTAAGAAGAGGAAGCTGCCTTATGAATCCGACCCAGCCGTCCGCCTAGCTCAGCAGTGGGCCCTGCTGCTGTTGGACCACAACTCCCAGCATCCCTAGCTAGCAGGAAGAGTGGTCAGGGATGATGGGAGTTGCAGTCCAACAACAGCTGAGGACCCGGTCTGAGAGACGCTGGCACACTGAGCAGCCGCGGTGGCTCTCCAGGGTTTCAGAGAAGGGGTCTCTGCCAAGTCTGCCTGGTGATGCTAGCGGGGGCTGCACCTGGGGCCTTCTGCATGCAAGGCAGGTGTTCTGCTGCTGGGTCTGGGTCCTTCCCATGCCGAGGACTCACACCGGCTCCAAGTTTCAGGCCTGCCCCCTGCCACTTATCCAGTCATCAAACCATTGGTTCACCTGGCTCTGTACTGGCTGCAGCTCTCCAGAGGTTCAGGCAGGAGTCCTTTGGCTGGAGATGATGTTGGGGACTGAACCTGGGACTTTCAGTGTGCAAGGCAGGGACCCCAAGGGCCATCTAGTCCAACCCCCTGCAATGCAGGAATGTCCTGTCTGAACTCGCCAGCTGAGTTTGCTGTTAGCATGTGCAACAAGGCTCCCTTTATCGAGTTGGATTTCCTGGGGCCCACCCAGTTCAGTATTGTCTGCTCTGACTTAGCAGCTGCTGACCAGGGCCTCTTCCCAGCCTCCCCTCTGAGATCCTTCTAACTCAGGCAGATGTGGGGAGCCTCAGTCCCAGAGGCTGAAGACAGCCAAGCCACACCCCCTGTGGTGGCCTGGGATTCGGACTCTGATGCTGAACCTGAGGGATCCCAGCCTGCACAGGATTCCCCGCCTCCAGAACCAGCCGAGCCAGGGCTGGTGCATGAGCCTGAAGGGTCCTCATCTGTGCTGGATCCTCAGGTGCAGGCACCAGCTGAGTCTGCTCTGGCTCCTGAGGTGATGGAGGACCCATTGCCTGCAGGTGCTCCACTCTCAGCCCCGTCAGGGGAAGCTGAGGATGCCTCTGGGTCCAGTAACCCTCCAGCCTCTCCGGAGCTGCAGAGGCTCAGGGCAGAGAGGCGGAGGGAACTAAGTTCCCGCAGGAGGAGTGCTCGCCTCCAGGCCAGGAGAGGTGAGTCACCTGAGGATCGGGGCCATCCTATGCAGATAAAAGCCACCCCCCCAGTCCCAAGTTGTGGGAGCAATATTGTTGGTTGCTAGTTCCTGCCTGAACCCTGTCCTGCTTTCCTGCCGGAGCTCCTGACCCGCCCTGGCTCCCTGCTTGCAAGCCTGTTCCTGACTTCACCCGGCTCCCTGCCCTGCACCCAGCTTCAGCTACTACGGACTGCCTCCACATTGCACCTTTGACCACGGACCGGACTTGGACCTTGCCTCTCGGGTAACCCACGGGACCAGCACACCCCCAGTCCTCAGACCACACCCCCTAAATGGTTCTCCTTTGTGCCTGGGTGGAACGCGTCCTGGCTTTGAGTGACACCTGTTGCCCTGCCCACTTTTGCCCCTGGCCCCGCCCACCAGGGGCTGCTCACGGCTCCTCCATGCTGCTCTATCCTCAGATGCCAAAGACCAAACTTGGGCTGCTTTGGATGCAGAGGAGGGGCTCCACCTGTGGCCTTGGGGTCTAAAGTCCTATGTAGGACGTGCAGCCTTTGTTCAGCGCAGAGGGTGCAGGCACATGTGCAGAGTGCAGCTGGGCTTATAGCCAGAGGCAACCCCATGGGCATGCAAGCCCTGAGACTAGGCAGAGGAGCGGAAGGCGTCTGACCCTGCTGCCTCCTTACCAGAGCTCCTTCGGGGCCAAACATCTCCAGGAAGTTGCCAATGAACTCGCGGGACTTCTCTTCCCATTTCTGGATGAGGTCGATGCTTTTCTCCTCCACTTTCTGCACAAACTCCTTGGACTTCTCCTCGACGTCCTTCACCCTCTTCTTCACTTTGTCCACGCGCTCTTGCAAGTGGTACTTCTTCTCCTTCAAAAAAAGAGAGAGGCCGCCATTGTCAGTACGCCTTTGAGCCAATGCCAGCGACTGGGCTCAACAACTGGTTCTGCCCCGACTGGGCTAGGTGAACTGGAGCACTTCCAGAGACCTTCTGCTCCTGGACCCACAACTGTCCATTTTGAGCACCAACCTCAGCAGAGTGTGAACAACACGGAAGAAAGCTGTGAAGCGTAACTTCTTTTATTTCTAACAGCTACTGCAAACTGAAACTAAAAAGGCTTGCATGAGTGTTACAGCTCTCACTCAGCCATCTCATCTCTACATAGATAACACACAGACTCCACACAGAGTCAGGCAGGAGCGGAAGAAGCGAAGAGCAGTCTCTGCCCCCTGCTTTCTGAAAACATCATATCAGGAGATTCTCGAAATGGGAGGGGGTGAAAATATCAACAGGCATCAAGGGTTAGGGCTAAGTTGGTGGCATCCGCTGAAAAACGGCAGCCTTGGGACAGCACCAGGCAGAAGGGCCAAATTCTGCACACAGAAAACCCCTCTGTCACAGACTCAAAGCAGATGCAGAAATGTGTTTCTTTGGGTGGCAAGATTTGGATTTGGTGGGATTTGGGGTCTTCTGGAAAGGCCACGTTCACCCTCTTGGCACCTGATCTGTTTAAAAAGGTCTTCCTGCATGAAAATGGGACCCTCCCTTGGTTTGCAGCCAGGCGACCCGAAGAAGTCTGTGCACAGAAAACAAGGTCCCCGGACTTACATTGATGAAGCTGACGTTGAGCTCCTTAGCCGTGTAGCCCCTCTGCAGGTTCCGCCGGGCGTAGACGTCGTAGTCGCGGACGATGCGAGTGATGATATCCGACGTGGAAATGCCTTCGGTTCTCTGAGTCGGTGCGAACATTCCTGCAAGCAGATGGAGAGAGGGTTGGGCGGGCAGTCAGTCCACCCACCCAAGAAGGCTCCATAAACATGGTGCCATGATGCAATCTGGAAAGGCCCTGTACCCTTCTTGGAGGCTTCCCATTAGCATGATGAGAAAGACTGGGGATGTGGGGTGGGGAGGAAGGGAAAAAAGGGGGGGGCAAAGGAGGAGGAAGCACGTTAGGGCTTCCCAGCCCCTGTGTTCCCCTCCCACCTGAATTCACTGCTCTCTAATGGCCCATCTAGTCCAGCACTGGCCAAACAGATGCCAATAATAATAATAATAATAATAATAATAAAAATAATAAAAATAAATTATTTATACCCCGCCCTCCCTGGCCAGAGCCAGGCTCAGGGCGGCTAACACCAGTAAAAATACAGTAAAAACATAATAGGAAAAAAACCCCAATTTAAAATACAGGTCAAAATGCAATTTAAAATGCAGCCTCATTTTAAAAGTAGCCCATAAATCAAAACCATAAGGGGAGGGAAACAGAAGGGTCAGACTGAGTCCAAACCAAAGGCCAGGCGGAAAAGTTCCGTCTTGCAGTCCCCGTGGAAAGTTATCAAGTCTCGCAGGGCCCTAGTCTCTTGTGACAGAGCATTCCACCAAGTCGGGGCCAGTGCTGAAAAGGCCCTGGCCCTAGTTGAGACCAATCTAACCACCTTGCGACCTGGGACCTCCAAAATGTTGTCATTTGTGGACCTTAGGGTCCTCTGCAGGGCATACCAGGAAAGGCGGTCCTGTAGGTACGTGGGTCCTGGGCCGTATAGGGCTTTAAAGGTCAAAACCAGCACCTTAAACCTGACCCTGTACTCCACTGGGAACCAGTGCAGTTGGTAAAGCACTGGATGAACGTGATCCCACGGCAAGGACCCCATAAGGTGTCTCGCCACGGCATTCTACACCCGCTGGAGTTTCTGGGTCAGCTTCAAGGGCAGCCCCACGTAGAGCGAGTTACAATAATCAAGCCTGGAGGTGACCATCGCATGGATCACTGTGGCCAGATCAGGGCAGGAAAGGTAAGGGACCAACTGCTTAATACAGCGGAGATGGAAAAATGCCACCTTTGCTGCGGCTGTAACCTGCGCCTCCATGGAAACCTGCGAGCAGGATTCAAGCACAAGAGCAACTCTCCCCTCCTGTGGTTTCCAGCAACTGGTATTCAGAAGAATTGCTGCCTCTGATCTCATGTCTAGCAGCCCCTGACAGTCCTATCCTCTAGAGCGGTTTCCAAAACTTGGGTCTCCAGCTCTTTTTGGACTACAGTTCCCATCATCAGCCTAGGACCCTCGTACCTACGGGACCGCCTCTCCCGGTATGCCCCACGGAGAGCCTCAAGGTCCATAAATAGCAACACCCTAGTGGTCCCAGGCCCTAAGGAAGTTAGATTGGCTTCAACCAGAGCCAGGGCCTTTTCAACTCTGGCCCCGGCCTGGTGGAACGCTCTGCCTCATGAGACCAGGGCCCTGCAGGATCCGATTTCTTTCCGCAGGGCCTGTAAGACAGAGTTGTTCCGCCTGGCCTTTAGCTTGGAGCCAATTTGATTCCCTTTCCCTCTTTCTTTTTCCTTTCTCCTCCTGTGATGAGGCTGCATTTTAATATTTTAATGTTTCAATATTTTAATTGTATTTTAATCTTGTTTCTAAGTTGTATTCATTCAACTTGTTTTTATTATTGCTTGTTAGCCGCCCTGAGCCCGGCCTTGTTGGCTGGGGAGAGCAGGATATAAATAATAATAATAATAATAATAATAATAATAATAATAATAATATTATTATTATTATTATTATTATCATCATCATCATCATCATCATCCCTGCTTGCTAGGGATGATGGGAGTTGTAGTCCAGCAACAGCTGGAGACTCGTGATTGGGAAAGCCTGCTCTAGAAGCATGTAGGGAAATGAAGAGGTTTTGTACAGCGCTGGCCTGGAGGGGAGCCAGCCGCAAGCCTCCCCAAAGGGCATCGCGGGAGGGCTGGGTGGTTCCGCTGCAGAGACACAAGCTCACCTGCTTCTTTTATGTGCTTATAGACATCGTCGCTGCCGGCGGAGGAATAGGGGATGTCGTCGTGGGCAACAAAGTCGATCTGTGGGATCGGACAGCAAGAGCCATTAGCAAAACTGCGGAGTCTGGGCAGCGGAGAAGAGGTGGCGGCACAAGCCGTGACCTGGTGGGTGAGGGCACCAGCCAGGGACTGGCACAGAGACACGGAGCAGGGAAGGCCTTTCAGCCCATTGTGCTTCCACTGGGCAGGTCTCTAGGGTGCCCCCCATCAGAGGGCAGGAGGAATGGAGTCTGGCTCCAGTGTGGTGTAGTGGTTAAGAGCGATAGACTCGTAATCTGGTGAACCGGGTTCGCTTCCCCGCCCCTCCACATGCAGCTGCTGGGTGACCTTGGGCCAGTCACACTTCTCTGAAGTCTCTCAGCCCCACTCACCTCACAGAGTGTTTGTTGTGGGGGAGGAAGGGAAAGGAGTTTGTGAGCCGCTTTGAGACTCCTTCGGGTAGTGATAAAGCGGGATATCAAATCCAAACGCTTCTTCTTTTTGCCACGGCTCAGAGAATCCCACTTGGCCGTAAGGCTAAGGACTGGAAAAGCCACAAGGGACCCAGCCCCCTTCCCTCCAAACCACCTTTCGCAGAGTCTCTTTTACCCTGTGCTCAGCCAAGAACTCGGGCGTCAGGGTCCAGGGGGCGTTCCTCACCACCTCGTCCACGTAGCGGCAGTGCTGCACGGCGTCGTAGCGCTCGGCCTCATTCATCACCGTGAAGCCCTTGAAGTTGTGCGTCAGCTCGTCGCTGCAGACTGCAATCGTGGAAACGGGGTGAGAATGTGAGCTCTGGGCCTCTTAAGCAACCCTGCCCGTCCTCGCTGGGGCGCCTCCTCCCCAGAGCTCCCGCCTAGAACACCCTGTGGTGTCCCAGCGCCATCTAGGAAAGGACTGCAGCTCAGGGACAGAGCATCTGTGCTGCATGCAGAAGGCTCTAGGGTCAAGCCGTGACATCAGGGGACTGGGAGGGACCCCCTGACTGAAAACCCCATAGAGCTGCTGCCGGTCAGTGTAGGCAGTACTGGGTTAGATGGACCACAGGTCTGATTCAGGATATGTACATAAAGACTCCAATGAGAGAATAATGATAATTTGAATTAAACATCAAGGAGAAGTAATTATCCTAGTTGGAATATATGCACCCAATGGAAAAAAAGTAGAATTCTTCAAAGAACTAGAAAAAAGGTTGCTAGAATACACAGAAGAAGAAAAATGATCCTTATGGGAGATTTAAATGGTGTAACAAACCCTGAGATGGACAGAACAATAGGACAGAGAGGGGAAAAAGGAAAGCTGCCACGTAGTTTTTTCGAACTGGTAGAAAATATGGATATAAAAGATGCATGGAGATTTAAACGTTTAACAGAAAGGGACTATACTTATTTTCAGAACCAAATAAATCCGCCAGTAGTATAGATGCCATTTGGCTATCTAAAGAGTTACTTGGGAGAATAGATAAGATACGAATTCTGCCAAAACTAGGTCTGATTCAGGATATGGCACCTTCCCAGGGAGCCTGGGCATGTTTAGCCTGGATAAGAGGAGACGGAGAGGAGATATGATAGCCGTCTTCAAATATCTAAAGGGTTGTCACATGAAAGATGGAGCAAGCTTGTTCTCTCCTCTGGAGGATGGGACCTGACCCAATGGATTCAAGTTACAAAAAAGTAGATTCTTGTAAGAAGAAGAACATTCTGTCAGTGAGGGCTGTTTGGCAGTGGAATGGATTTAATCTGGAGGTTGTGGTCTCTCCTTCCTTGGAGGTTTTCCAGCAGAGGTTGGGTGGCCATCTGTCTTGGATGCTTTAGTTGAGATTCCTGCATTGCAGAGGGTTGGACTAGATGACCCTCGGGGTCCCTTCCAACTCCACGATTCTACGGTTTTGGCTTAACCCCTTAAACTACATCTCTGGCTGAAACAAAGTGCACACGCTCACATCAACACCTTCCCTCCCCGCAACACTTCTTGGGACAAAGGGCTGAGTTTTGCTTTTTCAGAAATCTCCGCAAGCCTGTACACAAGGAATGGCACTTTTTGGAATAGCAGTATGCGTTACTTTAAGAAATACTCAGAAATAAACTGTACAGAGAGCTAACTGCACAATAAAACTTTGCTAAAACGCTACAAAGTCAAGACAGTATCCCAGGAAAAGGCAGAAGGAAGCTTTGCTTGGCATCTGGACCCCAGGGAGGGAACAGCCTCCCTTGTGACATCTGGCCAGATGGAACGGACAAAAGTCAGCAGGGTATAAAAACAGGCCAATATAGCCAACACACGACTGCCATGATGGAAACCTGAATTGCTCTGAAATGTCAATGGAACACATACTGGCTTGTTCATTTTTTCTGCACAGGTGATACAGATGAGCTGTGGGTTCGATCAGTTTCAACTTAACACTCTCTGGGGTCCTACGTTTTAGACAAGCCTCCTTGGCTGTCTTCTGAGCCATGTATTTCCTCCAGGGGGAAAAGTACTTTCTCTTGTCTGCTCTGAATCTTCTCCTGAATCAAGATCTCTGGGTGAATCTAACCAAGTCCTAGCATTATGAGAGAGGAAGGAAAGAATTCTCTCTACTTGCTTCTTACATATTATGCGTGGTTCCCCCAGCCAGGTAGCTTTCCTCCAAAATGTTTATGGAGTCAAAGGAGCTGTGCCTTACCCCCTACAATCAGGTACGTGTTTGGGAAGAGGTTTTTCGCCTGCATCAAGGCCCGTGCGTGCCCAGAGTGGAAAAGGTCAAATATTCCGTCGGCGTAAACCCTGACTGGTCTGTCCACTAAGAAGAGGAGAAAGGAAAAGCTTGTTAGTGAGGTGCTTTAAGGCTTCCACAAGAGCCTGTTCCAACCCCAAATAAAAGATTCTGTCTACTAGAGTGGTTCTCTTTGCAGCGACTTGAAGCATAGCTTCCTTTGTTCAAGTCCTCAGAGTTCCTGGCTGCAGGCAAATCCACAAAGACAATGGCTTCAAGTTACAAGAAAGGAGATTCCCAAGGAGCGCAAGAGCTGTTCGACAGTGGAATTGTCTCCCTTGGGACTCTTCTTCCTTGGAGGTTTTTAAGAAGAGGTTGGAAGGCTGCAGGTCTTGGATGCTTTAGCTGAGATCCCTGCAATTGCAGGGGGTTGGACTAGATGGCCCTAGTGGTCTCTTCCAACTCTATGATTCTATGATTCTATGACTCTCGGGGGTCCTTTCCAACTCAATGACAGAATCAGACCCAGAGCATTTGCAAAAGTAGCAGCAATCAATCAGGACAGGCGAGCAAGGAGACCTCCCTAATCTCTAATCACTGGAGAGCCAGTGCGGTGTAGTGGTTAAGAGCGGTAGACTCGTAATCTGGTGAACCGGGTTCGCGTCTCCGCTCCTCCACATGCAGCCGCTGGGTGACCTTGGGCTAGTCACACTTCTCTGAAGTCTCTCAGCCCCACTCACCTCACAGAGTGTTTGTTGTGGGAGAGGAAGGGAAAGGAGATTGTGAGCTGCTTTGAGACTACTTAGGGTAGTGAAAAAGCGGGATATCAAATCCAAACTCCTCCTCCTCCAGCTTCAGCACCTTGGTGCATCAGCAATAAGGACCCCCTTGGCTGTAATGACTTTCTGGCACCCATTAGATTTTCACTGGTCATGAGAGATCTACACAAATAGGCAATTCCTAGGGAAATCTCAGCATATGAAATACACCTGGAAAAGCAGGTTCAATGTGGCGCAGGGATTTGGAGAACCAGCATAATTGCGAGCAACTCCGCCCTGCTGTAAACTCAACCCCCCACCCCCTTCCACATGCGGCTGTGTCTCACGGCTCCAACATGCGCAGGAAGGATATCAATGTGCAAGAGGGACCCATGCCTTGAGGAAATGGGGGAGACCGACCAAATTCCTATAGAGTCAGTGACAGCCACCCAGTGACGGCCACCCAGCTATAAATGAGGATTACCGTATTTTTCGCTTTATATGATGCACTTTCCCCCTCCTAAAAAGTAAGGGGAAATGTGTGTGCGTCTTATGGAGCGACTGCAGGCGGGAGGCTCTGCTCAGCGCTCCCTTTAAAGAGCTGCGTGGAGCCTGTGTGCGGCTCTTCGGGGCTTTTCCCCGAGGAGGGAGAAGGGCTGCCCCCCCACACTCCGTGCGCTCTTTAAAGGGAGCACAGCTCTTGAAGGAGCCTTAGCTGCACGCAGCCTCTCCCGGGCAGGGTATGAAGGCTCCCCTTGCCTGGGAGAGGCTGTGTGCGGCTATCCCATAAGCCAGGACAGCCAGCGGGATTGCAGCACAGCGATCCCACTGGCTGTCCTGGCTTCTGGGATTCAGAATATTTTTTCCCCCTTGTTTTCCTCTTCCAAAAACTAGGTGTGTCTTTGTTAGGATATTTCCGTTCCACCTTAAAAGGGAGCAGGCTTTGTGAGTCACAGAGTCTGCGTATTTCCTGTTCACAGGAAGTTTATGTTTTCTGTTGCTTTCGTTTCTCTCTCGGTGCCTGAACACTGAAGCAGGCCATCATGTTTTTTTCTTTGTTCTGACCAACACTGAATAAACTTAAATAATGCTCTCCTGCATGCATCTTTCGCTGTGCATTATCTGCTGATAAGAGCATGCATCAGCTCTGGAATGTGGTAAGCTATTTCTGGAGCTCGTGTCGTTAATTGCTGATACTGCGTGTCTACGGGAGATCGATGGACGTCCGGAGGCGACGTGGGGCCATGATGGACTTTGTCTCCCTGGCAGTATCCCAACAGTCTTATGGTCTGGTGCGTCTTATAGAGCGAAAAATATGGTAAGTAAATGCATGCAAGATAAGTCTACCAAGAGCTAGTAGCCACAATGCCTATGTTCTTCCTCGGCCGTTGGTTGGGTGCCGGCTGCTGGGAACCCCGGGACTCAAGAGTTGCTCCTGCTCCCAGGCCCCATTTGTGGGCTTCCCGCAGGAATCTGACTGGGCACTGTCCGAAGAGTGCCGGACTAGGTGAGCCTTTGGCCTGACCTGGCGGGCTCTCCTTATCTTTGTACAAATGAACATCGCCCAAAGCGGCAAACTGCCCGTGACCCCCAGTTCAAGTCTAAATCTGGGCAGTTTATCAAGCCTGGAACCTGCAGATAAGGACGTAAGGGAAGTCTGCTGGGTCAGGCCAGCGGCCGCTCTCGTCCAGCAGCTTGTTCTGGCAGTGGCCAGTCAGATTCCTGTGTGATGCCCACAAGCAGGATTCGAGAGCAGGGGCAAGGGTCATTTTGAGCCATGACACCTCCAACAGTGCAGGCGGACTGGAGCCATTGTGACTAGTAGCCATCGAGAGCCACACCCTCCTCCATGAATTGGCTGAGTCCACTTTTAAAGCCATCCCTGCCTCCTGGGGGAGTGAGTTCCAAAGATTAACTCTGTGCTCTACAAATGGTCTTGAACAGGGGACCTTGGGGGTGATGGGCAGGGATTCACCCTGTGCGCCACTGCCCAGCTGTGACCAAATAATAATAATAATAATAATAATAATAATAATAATAATAATAATAATAATAATATATTATTTATACCCTGCCCATCTGGCTGAGTTTCCCCAGCCACTCTGGGTGGTTCCCAATTGAGTGTTAAAAACAATACAGCATTAAATATTAAAAACTTCCCTAAACAGGGCTGCCTTCAGATGTCTTTTAAAGATAAGATAGCTGCTTATTTCCTTGACATTTGGTGGGAGGGCATTCCACAGGACAGGTGCCACTACCGAGAAGGCCCTCTGCCTGGTTCCCTGTAACCTCACTTCTCGCAGGGAGGGAACCGCCAGAAGGCCCTTGGCGCTGGACCTCAGTGTCCGGGCTGAACGATGTGGGTGGAGATTCTCCTTCAGATATTCAGGACCGAGGCTGTTTAGGGCTTTAAAGGTCAGCACCAACACTTTGAATTGTGCTCGGAAACGTATACTGGGAGCCAGTGTAGGTCTTTCAAGACCGGTGTTATGTGGTCTCGGTGGCCACTCCCAGTCACCAGTCTAGCTGCCGCATTCTGGATTAATTGCAGTTTCCAGGTCACCTTCAAAGGTAGCTCCACGTAGAGCGCATTGCAGTAGTCCAAGCGGGTGATAACCAGCCAAAGAAAGGAGCAGGAGGGAAACTGGCTAAGGAAGCCTCCTGCATTGCAGGGGGTTGGACTAGATGACCCTTGGGGAACCCATCCAACTAGCATTCCTTTCACCAACAGGTTAGGCCAGGTCAAGCCATGACCTTTCGGAAGGTTTGCTTGCTTCTCTGAGCGACTGGGGATCCTCTTCTGCCTTTATGCCTGCTCTCCCCTATCCTTGCTCGGGTACACAGGAGCCAGGCACCGCCCACCTGCTGAGGCCACAAAGCCGCTCTCTGATCTGATAGACTGAAAGGGCAAGCTCAGCCTCACCTCCCATGACTTCACAGGTATTAGCAGAGAGATTAAGAGGATTTCGCAGCTGCATTGTGAGGTGGGGCTCTGCACTTTGCACTCAAGTCAGCAGAAGGAAGCCCAGAGGCAAACCCTCCCTTTGCCTTCCTGAACTCTTGACTGGGGATTAGGAGGGCAAATCTCTGCTGAGAAGGAAGCTGGGAGGGCAGAGAAAAGAAAAGAAAAACCCATCTTGCTAAAGGCTGCTCCAGTTTTCATAGATCCAGAAGGGCGTTTCGATAAGAATTAAATATAGCCCTTTGAGATCACAGCATCCTTGATAGGGACAATGAGCGAGTGTGGGAGCAGCAATTTGTGTTTTGCTATATATATATGGACCTCTCAGCTGGCACCCACCCAGACGGGGTGAAGAAGGGGATTGGGGGGAAAGATGAGGGGATTATAATAAATGTAGTGGTTTGGGTTGGACTAGATCAGGGGTAGGCAACCTAAGGCCCGTGGGCTGGATCCGGCCCAATCGCCTTCTAAATCCGACCCACGGACGGTCCAGGAATCAGCGTGTTTTTACATGAGCAGAATGTGTCCTTTTATTTAAAATGCATCTCTGGGTTATTTGTGGAGCCTGCCTGGTGTTTTTACGTAAGTAGAATGTGTGTTTTATTTAAAATGTATCTCTGGGTTATTTGTGGGGCATAGGAACTTGTTCATTTATTTATTTTTTCCAAAATATAGTCCGGCCCCCCACAAGGTCCGAGGGACCGGCCCATGGCTGAGAAAGGTTGCTGACCCCTGGAGTAGGACCTTGGAGACTAGGGTTCAAAACCCAACTCAGCCATCAAGCTCGCTGGGTGACCTTGGGTGCCAGTCACTGCCTCTCAGGCTAAAGTACCTCACAGGTTGTTGTGAGGATTAATTGAGGAGGGGGAGAACTATGTAACCCCCCCTCCCGAGCTCCTTGGAGAAGGTGGGACATAAAAGCAGTAAATCATCATCATCATTTCCATAAACCACAGATCCCTTCAAGTCACTGCTGAGAGGGGCTGGACTGAAATAAATCCCTCTCCCCACTTACTCAAAACTGGGCGCTTTGAGAATTACCATATTTTTCCCTCTATAGGATGCACTTTTTCCCCTCCAAAAATTGAGGGGAAATGTGTGTGCGTCCTATGGAGCGAATGCAGGCTCCTTGGGTACAGCGATAGCAATGCTAAGCCTCCGAAGCGCAGAGGGAGTGCTCCCTCCACGCTCCGGAGGCTTCCCATTGCTTTCACTGAAGCCTGGAGAGCGAGAGGCGTCGGTGCACACCGACCCCTCTCGCTCTCCAGGCTTCAGGGATAGCCGCCTGAAGCCTTCGGAGCGCAGTGCGAGTTCCCGCTACGTTCCGGAGGCTTCAGGTTCCTTTTGCTGAAGCCAGGAGAGTCTTGCTCTCCCGGCTTCAGCAAAAGGAACCCGAAGCCTGAGGAGCGCAGCGGGAACTTGCGCTGCGCTCGGAAGGCTTCAGGGATAGCCGCGTGCAGCCCCTCCGGCAGGGAGAGGTTGTGCGCAGCCTGTACGCTGCTCTTTGGGCCTGGGGGGGGGGGGAATAAGATTTTTTTTCTTGATTTCCCCCCTCTAAAAACTAGGTGCGCCCTATGGTCCGGTGTGCCCTATGGAGCGAAAAATACGGTACTTACATGGCGTCCCCCTTAATGCTTCATCAAACGTTACTCGGATGTATGGCTTGCTGTAGTCCACTTCAAGCTCATCGGAAAATGGAGCTGGCTCCCTGAGACCCTATATTATGAAAGGATATCAAGAAAGTAGGTGAGCTTTAACACAGAGGGGCAATTTACACCACAAAGAACTCATAACCCACCTACTTTCAGCAGCCAGAAACACCATAACCAGACACTGGAGAGACCTGTCAGGAGTAAGCATGGACCAATGGTACCCAATAGTATGGGAAACAGCCCTACTAGAAAAATTAACCAATAAACTGAAACTGACATGGGGACAAACAGAAGACGACTTTACCCCGGTCTGGCTCCCCTTTATCACATACACAGCCCAACAAGACAATGACAATAATCCACCAACAGCATACAAATCAACCTGACCCAAAGCACCCAGCCACCCCCCTCACACACGAAAACAAAGACCACCACAGCCAATCACAAACAAACAACCACACCCTAGGCCAACCCCAACCTCTCTCACCACCAAAGGAACACAAGTGAACAGCACAAGCAACGCTGACACCAAACCCTACATACATTAAGCATAACAGAAACATCACCACCCAACCCCAACCCCACCCATCTTCCCTCCCTCCACTTCTTCTTCTTCTTCTTCTTCTTCTTCTTCTTCTTCTTTCTTTTTCTCCCCCTAATGTCTCAACAAATGAAACGGATTTGTAAAAATGTTACATGGAAAAAATATGAGAGACATTACACTTACTTCTGTAAAACAAGAAAATCTTTAATAAAAAATTATATATATATATATAAAAAAACACAGAGGGGCGGAAGGGCATCTTGATTCAGCACCGAATCAGACCTGAAAACAGACCAAATGGGCACCAGGCCCAAGGCTATGGAAGGATTGCAGCAAGTGAGTGTCTGGAGGGGTCACAGAGCTCCCGCTTTCAGAGAACGCCACGTCCACTTTATCCGATGAAGGTGACTGTTGGGAGATTCAGGACAGACAACAGAAAGCCCTTCTTCACGCAGCACATAGTTAACCTACGGAACTCACTCCCACCAGGATGCGACGCTGGCCACCAACTGGATGGCTTTAAAAGGTGAGACAAATTGGTGGGAGATATGGCTATCAAAGACGGACGCCTTCTCTCTCCACAGTCAGGAGGCAGCGTGTCTCTGAACGCCAGTTGCTGGAAGTCACAAGAGTGGAGGAGCTGCCGCTGCTGCACTCAGGCCCTGCTTGGGGGATTTCCAGAAGCACCTCGCTGGCCCCTGCGAGAAAAAGGATGCTGGACTAGAGGGGCCTGATTCAGCTACAGGGCTCTTCTGTTCCTGGGTAGCAGGAAAGTCATTTGACCGATGTTTTGAAGAGCCACTGCCACTCTGAGCACAGGATGAGATGGCCCAGTGATCCAACTTGCTGAAGTGCAGGGTTATATATATATAGTGGTACCTCGGCTCTTGAACGTAATCCATTCCAGAAGACTGTTAGACTTCCAAAACTGAGGCGCAAAGGGCTGGCTGCCAGTTCAATTGGAAAAACTGAAAAACACGCAATGGAAGCTTTTTGACTTCCGAGGCGCGTTCGAAAATGGAAGCAATTACAGTGGTACCTCGGGTTAAGTACTTAATTCGTTCCGGAGGTCCGTTCTTAACCTGAAACTGTTCTTAACCTGAAGCACCACTTTAGCTAATGGGGCCTCCTGCTGCCGCCGCATGATTTCTGTTCTCATCCTGAAGCAAAGTTCTTAACCTGAGGTACTATTTCTGGGTTAGTGGAGTCTGTAACCTGAAGCGTATGTAACCTGAAGCGTATGTAACCCGAGGTACCACTGTACTTCCGGGTTTTCGGCGTTCGAAAACAAAAACGTTCGGCTTCTGAGACACTCGAAAACAGAGGCACCACTGTATTTGCAATTCAGCTTCTCTTGCTGTATAACGTGGGAACTAATTCCACATAAAATCCAGAGATTCCGAAGGTTTCATATACCACTGTTGTCTTATTACTTCTTTTTCTGGAACGAACAAAGGAACCTCTTTCGTCTCTTTTTTCTCTCTCTCTCCATTCTCCGCTGCCACCCCTTTCTTGTCCCGGCATTCAGAGTTGGAATCATGATAAAAACAACTTAGGAACTGTAGGCATATAAGCTTAATACGCATTTTCTCTATAAATTCCTCCTCAAAACCCACCGCAAGGGCCTCTCTCTGGTGCTGTGTTTATCAACCTTCAGTGTCCCCATGCTGTAAAAAAATGGGGCCAATGAGAGAGAAGATGGGAGGAATCACATATTTTTCTTTGTGTGTGTGTGTTGGTGGTGGGGACCTCCAAGTGTACAGAAGTCACGGCCTAGGACCCTCGTACCTACGGGGCCGCCTCTCCCGGTATGCCCCACGGAGAGCCTCAAGGTCCATAAATAGCAACACCCTAGTGGTCCTGGGACCTGAGGAAGTTAGATTGGCGTCAACCAGAGCCAGGGCCTTTTCAACACTGGCCCCGGCCTGGTGGAACGCTCTGCCTCATGAGACCAGGGCCCTGCAGGATCTGATTTCTTTCCACAGGGCCTGTAAGACAGAGTTGTTCCACCTGGCCTTTGGCTTGGAGCCAATTTGATTCTCTCCCCCTTTCTTTTTTCTTTTTCCTTTCTCCTCCTGTGATGAGGCTGCATTTTAATATTTTAATGTTTCAATATTTTAACTGTTGTATTTTAATCTTGTTTTTAAGTTGTATTCATTCAACTTGTTTTTATTATTGCATGTTAGCCGCCCTGAGCCCAGCCTTGGCTGGGGAGGGCGGGGTATAAATAAAAATTATTATTATTATAAGATCTCTAAAATGAGGCTGAGCAGGCTCACTGGTCCCAGGAGCCACGGAATCTTGATTGTTAAGCTGGAAAAGAAAATGGGGAATCTGAGAGGCTGAGAGTGAAGTGACTCACTCAAACCCCTCACAGCTTATTGCATCCCAAGGGAGGAGATGTCTGTGGAGAAAGCATGCGGGGAAGATGCTCAAGAGAGCCTCTCACACCCCCTTCCTTGCCCAATTGCAACACAACAGCCCTGCAGGTGGGTTTCAATCTCTGGCAGTTGCTGCCACTGCTGCAGCCTTATTTTGGTTACCTCCACCCCTTCTCTAAAGCCACGGCTAGCAGGCGGGCATTCAGGAACAGCAACACATCCTGCTGGGGGCCGGGGATGCACTGCAACCTTTTGTTGCAGTACTTAGTTGTTAAGAATGATGCTGCCTGGGAAAGATTGTGGAAGAAAGGGGTCAAGTTCCCGGCATGTACTGTGTTAAAGGAAAATAATAAGGAAAATGATGTACAGATGCTTTTTGACTCCTGTAAAATTAGCAAAGATATATCATAACTGTGACAATCTATGTTGGAAATGTAAAGAAAAGGAAGGAACCTTTTATCGTATGTAGTGGACCTGTCCCAAGGTGAAAGACTTCTGGGAAAAGGTTTATAATGAATTGAAAAAAATGTTGAAATATACATTTATAAAGAAACCAGAGGCCTTTCTTCTTGGAATAACAGGCTTGGAATTGCCCAAGAAAGATGTTAAATGATTTTTGTATGCCACAACTGCTGCTCGTATTTTGTTAGCTAAAAAGTGGAAAACCCAAGAATTACCAACGATAGAAGAATGGCAGATGAAGATGATGGATTTTTCGGAGCTAGCCGACCTGACCGGAAGAGTCTGCGACCAGAAGGAGGAGGAGTATCAGGAAGAGTGGATTAGTTAAATATGTTAAGTTAAATTAACTGAAAACAGCTTGCAGATACTTAATTGGCTTAGGATTTTATTTATGTTAAGTGATGAATTAATATGTTTAATTTTATAATGTGAAGAGTTAAGGATGTTAATGTTTAAGTTAAATTTTATAAGAACTGTGATTTGGAAATGAAATTCAACCACGGGGAAGCGAGGAAGTCACTTAACAATGTTAATAAGTGTAATTTTCAATAAGGCTATGATTTATGTTTGTTTGTCTTATGTGTTGGTTTGTTTATAATGTTGTGAAAACCAATTAACATTTTTCGGGGGGGGGGGGGGAGAACGATACTGCCTCTGGGACTGGACCAGTCCACTTGGAGAGATTCCAGCTCCACAACCGCTTCCCAGCCCTGCTTTCCAGTTTGGGTCAGAGGCAGAGCCAGAGAGTAGGGGAGAGACAGCCGAGAAGGGCAAAGCGCTGCAATCCGATATGAGGAAGGAAGGTGACCGGGTGCATCAGCTGAGAAGCCCTAATCTGAGATGACAGCTAGAGAGAACGATTGCTAGAATAAGGGATTCTTCTCTTGAGAAGGGACAGTAGGGAGCCATCACGTTACAGCAGCCTTTGCCAACCTGGTGCTATCCTGATGTTTTGGACTACAACTCCCATCAGCCCTTGCCAGCAGGGACGTATCATGCCTAGGCTGGCGTGAGTGTGGCCGTGAAAACTGGGGCTGACGGGAGTTGCGGTTCAAAGCATCTGGAGGGCAAGGGATTGGCAAAGGCGACATCATGAACATTAAGCAAGGCCTAGAATCACTAGACCTTGCTAGTGGATGCGGGTGGCGCTGTGGTCTAAACCACAGAGCCTAGGGCTTGCCAATCAGAAGGTCGGCGGTTCGAATCCCTGTGACGGGGTGAGCTCCTGTTGCTCAGTCCCTGCTCCTGCCAACCTAGCAGTTCAAAAGCATGTCAAAGTGCAAGTAGATCAATAGGTACCGCTCCGGCAGGAAGGTAAACGGCGTTTCTGTGCGCTGCTCTGGTTCGCCAGAAGTGGCTTAGTCCTGCTGGCCACATGACCCGGCTCTCTCGGCCAATAAAGCGAGACGAGCGCCGCAACCCCAGAGTTGTCCGCAACTGGTCCCTTTACCTTTACCTAGAATCACTTTGGCACAATGTGCAATCGAGAGCCCTGGCTGTTAAAAGAAGCAGGAAGCAAAACAAAAATGCCCACAACTCTGATATTGCTTTATTATTATTATTTTTAAAAAACCTTTCTTTAAACCCTATCCTTGGTAAGTGTTAAGTTAGCTGAGGAGGGTTGCTTTTGACTCCGAAAGGGCCGGAGCTCAGCCTGCGTCATTAAGTTAAACATTAAGCAGAAACTTCCTGCCAGAATTTCCCATTTTTCTTTTACTTACCAAGCAGTTCCGTGGCATTTTGGAGGGGATGCCATCCGCTTCGGCCGCCCCGTTGGGGCCCACGCCTTCTTTTCTCCTTTTCCTGGAGTTCAGCCTGGCAGAGCCCTGGGGTTCCATCCCGCGAATTGCGTCCGGCAGCTCAGCTGGAAAGACCTGCGGGAGCGAATGAGGCGTGGTTCTTTTTAAAAATAAAATAATAAAAAGGAGAAGGGTGGGGGGAACCAGCAGTCAGAAAAGGACTCTGTGTGTAGCGGGTTGCTCAGAGGAGCAGATCCTCTGAGCTGCCAACAGCCAGCGGGCTTTCAGCGGAAGAGGGTCAAGGTGGGGATGTTTTGAGTCCTCCTCTGAGCCGCCTCTTATCTGCCATAGTGACAAGAGGGCAGTAAAAACCAGCTGGCAGCCAGGAAGGTCTTTCTCCCATGACCCAGCAGGAATGCAAGAACAGAGAGAGAAGGGGGTGTGGAGAGAGAGAACTCAGTGGCAGGGCTTATTTTAGCACTCGGTTAAAAGCAGTGGGCAAAAGATTGAGCTGTTGGGGGGGGGGACACAAAGAAGACCTTAACCAAAATGAGCCAAGGACCTGTCTCGTCCAAAGGTCCCAGCGACATGGCACAACATTTTCAGCTTCCTCTGCAGTTGCGGGATTCCCTGGGGGCTTCCATAGACTCTATGCTACATAGGAACATTGGGACCACAGTGAATTAGCAGGCTTCTCACTGACCGCAGCATGATTAGCGGTAGCTCAGCGGTCCCAGCTCCTGCCCACCTAGCAGTTCGAAAGCACTCTTAAGTGCAAGTAGATAAATAGGGACCGCTTTATAGCGGGAAGGTAACGGCGTTTCCGTGTGCGGCGCTGGTGCTGGCTCGCCAGCTGCAGCTTCGTCACGCTGGCCACGTGACCCGGAAGTGTCTTCGGACGGCGCCAGCTCCCGGCCTCTAGAGCGAGATGAGCACGCAACCCCAGAGTCGGACACGACTGGCCCGTACGGGCAGGGGTACCTTTACCTTTACCAGCAATGGAAGAACCAGGCTGAAATGCCCCTCAAGTTATGGGGAAATAGTATCTGGGGTGCAGCAATGTCTGAGTGTCTCACCAGACACAGGAGAGCAATTAAAGGCATAACAGAAAGAGGCAGCTTCCAAGAAACGTGGACCCCTTTCTTGAACTATGTGAACGGCTATAATCAAGACCTTCTTACACCAACTGCTCAATAGTCTCAGCGGAGAGGTTATGCTAAGTAACCTGCTTGAATGTTGAATGTCCAGAGACAATGGATCAAACGAACACTGTTAGCTATACTGCTGGATAAGTGTTTAATGGTTATTGCATTTGTTTAAAAACCAATGAAAATTGTTTTTTTAAAAAAATTAAAAAAATAAAGAACAGAAGTTGGAAGATTAGTTGTTGAAAGATTTAGGAGAAGTAAAAGAAAGTACAGTGGTACCTTGGTTCCCGAATGGCTTAGTTGCCGAACAAATTGGCTCCCGAACGCCACAAACTTGGAAGTAAGTGTTCTGGTTTGCGAACCTTTTTCAGAAGCCAAACGTCCGACGCGGCTTCCACAGCTTCTGTTTGAGTGCAGGAAGCTCCTGCAGCCAATCAGAAGCCGCGCCTTGGTTTCTGAATGGTTTCGGGAGTCGAAAGGACTCCCGAAACGGATTAAGTTCGAGAACCAAGGTACCACTGTACTTCATTATGCAGCGCATAGTCAGACTAGGGAACTCGCTTCCAGATGGCCACCAACTTGGATGGCTTTGAAAAAGTATTAGACAAACACACAGAGGAGAGGGCTATTGGAGGCTATTAGCTCAGTCTCCCAACAGCACTTCCAAAATGAGGAGATGCGACCATTTCCTCCTTCTGGATTCTGTTGGCAGAAATTTCCCTGCCCCGTATAACCACGAGCAGCTCATTAAATGTCTCATTTTGTGCAAAAGTTCTGCAGTGAGCTGTTGGGAAGAGGCAAAACCAGAAACAGATGCAGGCACACCATTGTTTTAGATAGCCCTGTGACCCCATTGCCTGAGGGCATTTGAATCCTGCATTCCTTACTATGCATAACTTACAATAGCCTTAGTTACAGATAGGTAGCCGTGTTGGTCTGCCATAGTCAAAACAAAAAAAATTCCTTCCAGTAGCACCTTAAAGACCAACTAAGTTAGTTCTTGGTATGAGCTTTCGTGTGCATGCACACTTCTTCAGATACACTATAGAAGGATCTGGCAACTTCTGTTTCAGTGTATCTGAAGAAGTGTGCATGCACACGAAAGCTCATACCAAGAACTAACTTAGTTGGTCTTTAAGGTGCTACTGGAAGGAATTTTTTTTGTTTTTACAATAGCCTTGTTAACATCAAATAATGCAAGAAACCATGAATTAACAATGGGTTACGCCAGGATCAAACAAACAATGGCTTGCGTGGGGTGTATGAACAAACCAAGCTCAAGGATCTGCAGGTTAAAACAAAACAAGCCAACAATAAATCATAGCTTCAGATCATGGTATGTTGGCAATAAACAAACCATAGTTGAGCTGCTGGGCAGAGTTCACACGTAATGCTAAGTCATGCTTTAATAAACCATAACTTAAAACAGTGTTTCCCAACCGGTGTTCCGCGGCACACTAGTGTGCCGCGAGGTGTTGCCTGGTGTGCCGCGAGGTGTTGCCTGGAGGGAGGCGGGCGAGTCCAAAAAAGGTTGGGAAACACTGCTCTAACACACGCCAGCCGGGGTCTGCCTCCGCGTTGCATCAGCTTCCTCGCTCTCGGCGCTCTGCTTGCCAGCCTGGTGGCCTCTGCCCCGCCCCGAGACTGGAAGGGAGGGGCGGGGCTTCCACTGCGGCTGCGTCTCTGGCTCTTTCGACTCATTCCTCCTCCGAGTGGGCTTGAAAGAGCGGCCGATGGATGAATCGGCCGGCGACCCTGAAGCCTTGTGCAAAGTAGAGGAGGCGGAGAAGCGACGGCAGGGAGCTTAGGCGCCGCATCCGGCTCATTGCGGGAAGTCAAGATGGCGGCGGGTAAGTGTGGGAAGCAGCTTTTTCCCTCCGCCGCCCCCCTCTCACCGGGAATAAAGGGGGCCCCGCTGGGGGGTGACGTTGTAGAACGCAGAGTTCTTATTTTGGGAAGGTTTGAGGGGTCGGACTAAGCGGGTTGGGGGCTGGTCTGGGCTTCCGCTCCCTCCCCTCCCCACGGAGTGTACCTGCGGTGCAAGGAGGCGATCTGAGCCACTGCTCTGGGAAAGGAAGGAGGGCGAGGCGGCCTGGCCAAGTGCAGGGGAGACCCGTAGTGGGGAGCAGGGGGAGGAGGAGGCACCGAGGAATGGAGGTGGGGGAGACTCCCTCGCTTTGCAGAAACTGCAAAAAACGAGGCAGGAATTGGGTTTGTTTTTGTAGCTCAGGACGTGCTTCGCTTCTGGTGTGCCTAAGGCGGCCGCCCCAATTATCCCCTAGCCCATCTTTGCAGGTGCTGCCCCCCCTCCACAAAGGGCCATAGAACTGTAGAGTTGGCAGGGGTCCCAAGGGTCATCTAGTCTTAAGTTTCTCTTTCAAAAAGGAAACGTGGGTTAAAGCGGCGACGCCGCCCCCCACTCACTTTCCTGCTCTGGCTTCCCTAACAGTTTTCCGAGTTGCGTCACTGGATCCAGCCCCCTTTTCCACAGGTGACACGGGGCTGGAGGGAGGGAAAGAGGGCTTTACGTCGCGCACAAAGGCAGCCTCCTAGAAGCGCTCTGGGCCAGCGCCGTTTCGCCGAAGGCGCCGGAGGACCCCCACCCTCAGCTCCTTCAGAAAGGACTGGAGCGGAATAGCCCTTTCTCTTCTTCCCCAACCCTTGTCGTTGGAGGAGTCCCTCAGTCCCTCGCTTTGCTGCCTCCTCCCCCCCCACCCCCAAAGCTTGGAGGTTCCCCGGCAAGGGGGAGGGGAAAAATTGAAACTTACACTTTCGTGCGTCCCTCCCGGCGTGACGCTGCGCGCTGACGTCACGGGGCTGTAATGGTGGTGTGCCTCGAGATTTTTTTCATCAAACAAGTGTGCCTTTGCCCAAAAAAGGTTGGGAAACACTGACTTAAAAAACAGTGGCTTAGTGTTATGTCTGAACCAGACCAGTATCAGTCAAGAGTTCAGCTTCAGTTAAAAACCCAGAAGAGGGATTAACCCCCCCCCCGACTGCAAAAGTGGCAGTGACACCATCCCAACCTCAGTCATAAGGAGAATGGGCCCAAGAATCTTATGCAGATCGTTGCAGAACCAGATTGCCCCTCTAAGTCCAGCATCCTGTTTTCAACAGTAGCCCAAGATTGATTTAACTCCAAGCAATATAGTATCAACAGCCATGCTGACTATTTAAGTTAGCAGTGGAAAAAGGCCAATTAACTGATTTAAATCCAGTTTTCCATTTATATGTCTTCCAATATTTATTTCCTAAACAGTGGTGCAAATCTGAACACTAAACCACGCCAATTCAACAGCAGAATATTTGTATAGAAGGTTTTGCCCTGACCTTAGAGGCACTGCTAAATTTTGCACGCTTTCTCTTTAACTTACAGAGGAAACGTCTTTAGAATATTCCCAAAATGGGTCTCTCGTAAAACCAGCACACAGGGCTTTTTGTGAGGCTAAATACAAGAACACAGGAACGACAAGCCTGGCTTGTCTCGCTCTGTCTTGGCCCATCCCGGCTCTCTTTAAGGTGTTTAATCTACACCACTTAACTTGTTTTGCCAGTACATTAACCACCCACGCCAACTTCTTTTTGCTGGATCACATGTTTACGGTGCTCTGTATGGGACTGTGACACAACCAACCCTTGCATTCCGGTCTCACTTTGTGAGACAGGGATCAGGGAACCTCAGGCCTCTCTGTCTGGTCCCCAGAACTGGCCACATTCCTCCCTGGACCATAGCTCGGTGATAGAGCACCTGCTACTCGGCTACTTGCAACCAAGTGAAGATTCCTGGGCACCAGGATAGCGCCCGACATCTCCACCTTTTGGCGGTGCATGCCTGGGGATCACTGGATCTTGACTGTTTTCACGCACTAATGCCCCACCCTGTAAAATTCTATCAGTTGTGTTTTATCTGCACAATCAGAATGAATTTCTGGAACCATAATGCTTTTTCTGTGCAGCCTGAGCAGGAGCAGTCGCCATTAAGTAAAA